AAGTATGTAATTATTGTTGGAGGTTATTTTTTGTACTCGGTTTTTTTTATTGCCTTTGCGGGCAGACGAGCATACGGCCCACCTGATGGTAAGTGGCCTGACGTCAGCAATGCCAGGGGCAGAGCCAAGCCTCTGCCTACCATTAAGTAATCTCCGCAAGCCTCGTTTGAAGAAGGACATGTCATAGTGCTCGGAAAACACCGTGGAGGGGAGTTTATTCCAAAGCCGGATGGTACGTGGCAAAAAAGATTTTCAAACCTCTTGACTGTTTGGCGGCAAAATTAGGCGAGGTGGTAAGACCTGTTTCTGTTGACTCACCACGCCTGTGGGTAAAAAGTAGGTGTAAAGCAAGCAAAGAAGTAAGCTATGCTTATTAAAAGTAGTTAATTAGAAAACGCTAAAACCTATGAGAGCACTATGCGTACTTTCCAAAGCAATTTCCCTTCTTTACCAGTCTGGTAATAAAGGACTATAAATAGCACTAGAGTCATTCACTAATACGTTAAAGACTCGTGGGCTTCTTGACTAAATATAGTCTGGCATCGCTCTACGTAAATTTAAACCTAAACTGAACGTAATAGGAGGAAATGTCGGATGTCAACTTCTGTCTCGAGATAATGGACCTCTGGCGATGCGCAAGACAGTTTATGTACTTACCACCCTTCCTTTTTAGGATTCGTTGTAACGTTGCGGGCTCTGAGGAGGATGTGTTTGTTTTTGTAAATTGTTCTATAGCCAAGTTCACGGCTAATGCTGTATCGGTGTAACGATGTGTTTTTACAGGCAGATATGCAGGCAAGTCTGCTTATGTTTGATGGCAATTGGAGTCCGTTGACGTAGCGAAAATATTGCCGCCCCTCATGTTGAGCCTAACTGCTAATAGTATTGTTGTAATTCGTCAATCTTACCCTTCAGATGGGAAAGCAGAATTACTTTGCGTCAGTATTAGCTAGGATGCTGGTATCCAGCCACACAGACCTTTAACGTGCTTTGCCATCAGCAAAATTATGGGGCTTGTAATACGCGCGACAGGAATAATCTGAATTCATTTTACGATCCTGTCTTATTTCTACTCCGAAGCGACCGCTTCCTATGACAATGCGTTCCGGTTTGGCGGTTCCGGCTGACGTTGTGTGCATTCTCGCATATACATACACAATAAACAAATAACAACAAAAATATGAATCATGTGGTTAATACGGATAAGCAAGGGAATGTGATAGCAGTAGCTGACCGTGTCAACTGATGAATAGCCGGATAAACAAACGACCTACTACGTACCAGGGTAGGAACGTGCAGCACCAAACGTACTTGATCACGATTGATTACTTAACAGCTTGATTACAAAGCCTTAAATTACTAAAGAGGCCCCGATAACTAGAGGCCCCAATAATTTAGAGAAGCTGATGGTAGTTGGTCAGGTTGACGGGAGAAAATCACGCGGACGCTCACCTACCTGCTGATCGGATCTGGTAAAGACGCTCACCGACCTGCCAATAACCGAGGCTATAAAGACCGCCGAGGACAGGAAGAAAGTGGGGAAGCATTGTGCATCGAGTGGTCCACATTTCATATTAGACACGACCTTCAGCAATGAAGAGACCGACTCAGACGAAGAAGAAATTACTAAAATACTTTAAATGCGTCGCGGTTATCGATATTTGTAATTTGAATGCAACTTCGACGCCCTTTTCTTGAGTGTCGCTACTGTTACACATGTGCGGTTGGCTAAACTGTGTCACACTTGTTTTGAACAGGTCGGCATGGTCGAAGGTTTTGTTTTAGGGTACCGTAACAAGGTTTTGTTGGTAAAGTAAATATTGCTCAATTAAATGGTGAAACTAAAAAAAAAACGTACTTCACATGTAATTTTGTTTTAATTGCCTTCGAAGACAGAAAGGCGGCAAACCTGATGATTTGTGGTCACCGACGCGTATGGATTTCAGTAATGCCAGAGGCGCAGCCAAATCGTTGTCTGTCGCTGTGTTTTCTTGTTTGAGAATATGCAAATATGCTATGACATAGCACATCGTGGATCAGGTGGGCATCAGGAAACACCGTGTCCCTAATGCCCCTATCGAAGTATACCTATATAGTGAACTCTGTTACGGGGGCGAGTGTAATTGGCGAAATTCCTTGGAGATTTTTTTCCACCTATTCAATTATCGGGTGTCACAATAGTTATTTTCCTCCCTCTCTCTTATTAGAGATTTTTTTATTGCTTAGATAGGTGGACGAGCCCACCTAGTGTTAAGTGGTTGCTAGAACCCATAGATATCTACAACGTAAATACCTTTACCGATCTTGAGACGTGACGTCTAAGATCCGAGTTTTTACAGTTTTGCGGCTGCCACACAGTTAAAACCGGAACGCATTACTGCTTCACGGCAGAAGGAGGCAGGGTGGATGGTGGTTCCTACCCATGCGGACTCACAATACGTTCTACCCCCAGTAGACCTACGCCAATGCCTCACTATTCCATTCTTCTAAAATCCATCAATTCATTTTTTTCTCTGGTTTCGCCTATCCTCGTTGTTTCTATTTCATTTCATTACCACCTTTTCATGACTTGTCAATAAATTTACACTAATTTCAAAAATAGTTGTTAGTCGGTGATAATTGTTGCTACGATTCGGCCGTGTTGCCGAGCAAAACTAAGGAGGTAAAATTCGTTATTACTAAAATTGTAACACGCTGTATGTAGGTTCGAAGAGCGTTTTATCCTTGAAACGTTTTCTATCGATTGATTTATTATGGTTTCCTTTGGCAATGCTCTCATTGTAACTCCAACGTAGATTGTACGATACAAACTGATCGAAATTACAGGAAAACAAAATCCGTACGGCGAAGGTATTGTTATTTAATAAAATTAGTGGTCCCCTGGTAGTCGAAATTCGACTATAATTAATTCAAATTATAAGTTTGTACACCATTATGATTCTATTGTCATAGACTGTTATTATACTTCTATAATCACAGATTTCGCCAAGATTACACTTATAAAGACAAACATGATTGTTCTATTTTCAATTTGACTACAGACTATAAGCAATAAGAAAAGTTTGACAATAAACAAATAGTATGCATACGTGTGTGCGTGCGTCAAATACATGGCATGTAGTGTGTGTAACGTTTTCTTTATTGATTTAATGTATCTTTTATGCATTATTTAAAAAAAAATTAGCATTGTGCACTTCTTCTCTATATTCTCTATAAGTGTGGAAAATTTCATACTCCTCCGTCCGCGCAATTTTCGTAAAAAGGGATACAAAGTTCTTGCTTCACGTATTAATATATAGATTAATAAAGACAAACATGATTGTTCTATTCTCAATTTGACTACAGACTATAAGCAATAAGAAAAGTTTGACAGTAAACAAATAGTATACATGCGTGTGTGTATCAAATACATGGTAGTGTGTGTAATGGTTTTATTTATTGATTTAATAATGTATTTTTATGCATAATTAAAAACAATATTAACTGCACTCCTTCTCTATATTCTCTAAAAGAGTGGGAAATTTCATACTCCTCCTTCCTCGCAATTTTCGTAAAAAGGGGTACAAAGTTTTTGCTTCACGTATTAATATTATTATTCTCGAGTATATGAATGGTCTTGTTTAAATAAAATAAAAATAAAAATTAAATTAGTATTTATTTCGGTTTTCGCGAAACGTTGAAATATTTAAAAATACTTTTACCGTTTTAATGTAGTGTTTTTTTAAGGCGTATTTTCAATTAAAAATAATTACTACAGTTCGCTCAATGATCAAAGCTCACCTCTCAATTTATATTCATTTCACGTATTTATATTCTTTGTTATGTTATTTTGAGACTGACACGGTGGTGCTGTAGTTAGCGCCCTCGACTGTCGTGGGTTTGATTCCCGCATCGGACGTTGTGTGAAGAACAGGTTTGCTTGCTTTTGAGGCGTTATCTCTCTCTCTCTCTGTCTCTCTTCTTCAACCCGTGTCCACCCAACACTGAGTGTAGGTTTCTTCAAATGCACCCCATTCTTTTCGGTCTCTTGCTCTTCGCATCCGGTCTCTACAAGTTTCTTATCTATATACTTGTATGTATATATTTAAACATATATAAGTAAGTATGTTCATCAACATAACACAGGCTATCCTAAATCGGGACCGTATGATTGTGCGTGATTTGTTCCCAGTTATTGTTATTATTATTTTTATATATATATATTTTTTTTTATTGCTTTGATGAGTGGACGAGTTAGGCTCGCAGACCACCTGGTGTTAAGTGGTTACTGGAACCCATAGACATCTATAACGTAAATGCGCTACCCATCTTGAGATAAGTTCTAAGGTCTCAGTACTTACAACGGTTGCCTCACCCTTCAAACCGAAACGCATTACTGCTTCACGGCAGAAATAGGCGGGATGGTGGTACCTACCCGTGCGGACTCACAACAGGTCCTACCACCAGTAATTCCGCTACTTAAATTTTTTGCAGGCCTAATTTAACTTATACATGCGTATTTAATTAGAGAGAATTGGCACCTTTGGAGAGGTTCGAATTTTGGAACAGTCGCATTGCTCCATACGAATTTACCAGTATTGGTGTCCTTCCCGGTCACCGTTCTCGTCGAACCTGTCGTTTGCGACGAAGGGCTCGACGAGTAAATTAACCCTCAGACACAGCCCACTGAGTTTCTCGCCGGATCTTCTCAGGGGGTCGCGTTTCCGATCCGGTGGTAGATTCTGCGAAGCACGGCTCTTGCTAGGGTTCGTGTTAGCAACGTCGTCAGGTTTGAGCCCCGTAAGCTCACCTACTAGTTAAGGTTACGCTGGAATAGCCTGTCAAGGCTAACAGGTTAGGTAGGAAAAAAAAAGGTGTCCCTACGGCTACAAAGATTTTTTGTTAATACATTTTATACATCATCATCATCATCATCATCATCAACAGCCCACAGTCGTCCACTGCTGGACATAACATTTTATACGATAGTACATTTTGTTAAAGTATTAATTTGTTCACAGATGGGGCACAATAAAGAAGAGGACGATGGCACGGATGACTCCGATCCGTCGGCTATGGACAGCGACGATCCACTTACCGTATCCGATACGAAGTACGGGAAAAGTTTTAGGTATGTCAATAGGTTTTTTTTATTAATTTTTTTTTAATTGTTTAGATGGGTGGACAAAGTCACAGCCCACCTGGTGTTAAGTGGTTACTGGAGCCCATAGACATCTACAACGTAAATGCGCCACCCACTTTGAGATATAAGTTCTAAGATCTCAAGTATAGTTACGTATAGGTTTTAAGTAAGTCGTCGTGGCATAGCTCTAGGCAGGATGGTGGTACTTGGTGGGGTGAAATAAGTTTTGCCAACTGCCTCAGCGTAGTGAGAGATATGACTTTGCGCCTTTTGCTATCTAAAAGTAATATTCTATAATATATTTAATTTAGATGTGTGAACGTGCTCATGGCCCATTTGATGTTAAGCGGTTATCGAGTACCACAGACACCACGAGATGAATGCAGCCTACCTTGACGTCTCTGTTTGGTGATAGTTATTCAATTTTTTTTTGCGATTTTATTTTTCCTACACTTTGTTATTCTTCCACCGTGGAAGCTATTTGTGAATATGAGTTAAAAAAGGGGTTTCATCATTTAGGGAAATTGGTAGCTGTTTGTAGGATTTCAACACCTCTATCTATAGTTTCGCTCGGTGCGAATATATCAGACGTTTTATCCTTTAGGCCACGACACGTACACGTGTATTTAAACATTAAAAATAATTAAAAATTATAATTATATGCAATTAACCTGTTTAATAATAAAACATTATAATTATATAAATTATATAAAAGATAATTTGGTAGAGTCTGTCCATTTAATTTAAATAATCGTCTTTACAATCGCACCGCCCGCCACCGGAGTAGAGTTCATCCATACTACCTGGAGCCACTGCGGTCATCCACAGTGTGTTTCCAGAGCTCTTTTTTGCCACGTACCATCCGGCTATGGAATGAGCTCCCCTCCGCGGTGTTTCCCAAGCGCTATGACATGTCCTTCTTCAAACCTTCTTCAAACGAGGTAGGCAGCGGCTTGGCTTTTCCCCTGGCATTGCTGACGTCCATGGGCGACTCTTTCGCCGGTCGAGTCTTAGGTTATAGGTAGTATTTGAGAGCAAGGCTTAAATGATTTATCGTTGCTGAAACCCATTAAAATACATTATTTTATAAATATACCTTATTATATACCTAACACCTTGTACTCCAATTTTTCTAATGTAATACGTACTTAAAAAATGTTCACGATTGACTTTCACTGTGAAGGAATAACAACGTGTAATAAAAATCAAACCCGTAAAATTATAATTTGCGTAATTATTGGTGGTAGGACCTCTTGTGAGTCCGCGCGGGTAGGTACCACCACCCTGCCTATTTCTGCCGTGAAGCAGTGATTTCGGTTTGAAGGGTGGGCAGCCGTTGTAACTATACTTGAGACCTTAGAACTTAAAACTCAAGGTGCGGGGCGCATTTACGTTGTAGATGTCGATGGGCTCCAGTTACCACTTTACACCAAGTGTGCTGTGACCTCGTCCACACATATAAGCAATAAAAATAATAATTATAAATGATATAAATTTGATCTCTCACAAGCACTCCCTTAGAATTTCAATTTGATTTTAATTTAATTTCATTACGCTTAGACAGATACGGCTTCACGACTCTTTCATATTCAGTTGTTAATGAAACCCATAGGCGTCATATTGTAAATACTACCACAACTTCATTTTAGTTTAAAACGTATATTTTAATGCATCTAAGCTATTTTACAAAAAAACAAATAAAAAATGAACCCTCATTATTGTTCTGTATCAAAATATTTTCTTGCAGACATTTTACACGTGAAGCTCTACCTAGATTGGACAATTACAGAAACGTTTTGTCTATACATGCCGCCCATCGACCAACTTTAGATGAGCTTCACAACGCTTCATTGTCTAGGAAGGTAAGGGGACGGTATTATTTGATTTCGTTTACCAGCCAGTTCGAATTTTAAATTTTTCTGGAAATTTCGTGGTTTTTTGTTACCTAATGTCCGTAAAATTTTAATTGACAGGAAAATGTTAAACGTCCGTTAACGATCTTTTTTTAAATATATTTAATTAGTCATATTAAATTACCAGTATTTAATTATTAATTATGATGCTTAATCGTGCCACGCTTGACTGCCATGCTTTTTTTCTCAGAATAAAAAACATGAATTTTTTCATGAACATTTTTCAGAATAAAATTAAATTAATATTTCTCATGCTAATATGTTCGAAACATTTTTTTTGTCTGTTGTAAATACGTAATAGTTAATTAATTAATTACTTTAAACTACCTTACATCGTTTTGATAAATAACTCTGGAGCTTTAGCTTTGCTGAACTCCTGAAATCTGCGATGTCCTTGAGAATCGGTAATAATCTATGATAAGGCAGGCTCGTCTGTGTGCTGAGGTAACAAGAAGATCCCAAGAACCTTTCAGATGATAGCACTACACTGTAAGAACGTTAATGCCGTCACCCATCTTGAGACATGAGTTCTAAGTCTCAGTTCTATAGTACCTACAAGGGATGCCCCACTTATCAAAGGCGGGAGAAGCAACGAATTCCCTTGACCTGATACCGAAACGAACGATTCGACAAGAATGAATTCTAACCGTGTTATATTGCGAGCAATAATAATAAAATAACTATGTTACTTTTTAAACTATTGCATAGCTTTTATCGCGGGCTTTGAGCGCGGCGACCGAATCAAGAAAATCCGTAAGGAAAATAAAACCTAACACCCCCTACTGCGTCTACCTGCTCGCGTTCAACACATTCACACGTTGCGCTTGTGTAGTGTTTGTGAATAAGCGCGCGGCGTGACGTTGCACTGCATGCGCATCATGAAAAGTCTGCTCATCTCTCTCTCGCGCGGTCTAGCTTATGAGTGTGAAAGGGACAGTTAATGTTTTGCTTTTCTTAATGTTTATAAATATAGCGTGGTCTTATTTTATTATTGTTTTAATATTGAATTATTATTGTCTAATTATAATTGCATACGTTGATAAAAAATGATATGCAATCGCTTTACCGCGGCAGTCCCCGAGTGTTTTTTTTTATTTTCCCTACCTAATCGCTGGTAGCTTAAGAGGCTATTCCAGCTATGCTCGGACTGATAAGTGAGCTCACGGGCTCAACCTGAGAGAATTACCAACACTAGCCCTAGCAAGCGCAGTGCTTCGCTGAGTCTACCATCGGATCGGAATCGCGACTCACGGAGAAGATCCGGTGGCTATGTTGTTTTCAACACTGGTACCAACCTGCCCTCCAATCAGTGTTAACTCGACAACAGTAATTCTAATTAACCATCAACATCATTTAGTGACAATGACTCGGTTATTAAGCGTTGTATAATTGTTACGGATTGCAATTTAAGGTTAATACTCGTAGTTCATAAAATTACACGTACGTAGGTTTATCTTTATGCATCTATAGTGGACGCCGCAACCTTGAACTAAGATCAAGTGGTCTTCATAAAGCGCATTTGAACTATGCCCTTAACTACTCGATTGCTGTATTCCGTATGTGATTGTTTTGAGTTATCCTTATGAGGGTAGTAATAATTTTACAAATGATTTTTTTTTTTCAATCGGTACAGATGCGTCACACTAAACACAACGTCGTTGATGTTCGAACACTGTTTTCTCTTTGAAGAATCTCTGGAATCTGTAATGATATTCCTGTCAATATTATCATCTCAGTCTGTCCACTGTCCACTGCTGAACATAGGCCTCTTCAACTGATCTTCAGTGCGGCCGGTCCAATGCCACCTGCATCCAAACGTGACCCAGCGATTCTCACCAGGTCGTCGGTCCATCTGGTAGGTGACCGTCCTACACCGCGCTTGCCAGTACGTGGTCTCCACTTGAGGATCTTTCTGTCCCATCAGTGGTCCGATCTTCGCGCTATTTTCATGGAAATCTTCCCTATGTTGTTTCTAACGTGCTACGTCAGATTGTCTACACCGAATGGCGAATGGATTATTAATAAGTCCGGTTTCTTCTAATTTTTGGCAATAGATTCCTTCTGTTATCTTCAATTCTATCTTTTACTTTTATCTATCGGTGTGATCAATGTGAAGTTCTGAAAAAACTGATACTCAATGATTTTGCTTCTAGAGAACTAGGGAACGAATTACCCCTTCCTAATTGTGAAACATTGACATGTTTCGCATAAGACGACATGTGACCTCGCACATACAGTATTTACCAATTAATCGATGCGTATTCCCGTGCAGGTACTTCGGACCTTACCCATTCGGCAAGGTCGACGTTAAGTAATGGATTATTACGGAATATTCCCGACTTGGCGCTCGCTCATTATATCGATTGTGTAATTTTTTTTGTTTTTTTTTTTTTATTGCCCTTGTAGGCAGACGAGCATACGGCCCACCTGATGGTGAGTGGTTACCGTTGCCCATGGACTTCAGCAATGCCAGGGGCAGAGCCAAGCTGCTGCCTACCTCTTAATACTCTCCACAAGCCTCGTTTGAAGCAGGACATGTCATAGCGCTCGGGAAACACCGTGGAGGGGAGCTCAATCCATAGCCGGATGATTCGTGGCAAAAAAGATCTCTGGAAACGCACTGTGGATGAACGTAGTGGCTCCAGGTAGTATGGATGACCTCTACTCCGGTGGCGGGCGGTGCGATGGTAAAAACGAGATGTCGGTATCATCTCGAATAATTCCTCAGAGCACTCCCCATGGAACATACGGTACAAAATACAGAGGGAACCGAAGTCCCTCCGCAGACCCAGGATATATCATGATTATCTGGATATTTTATCATGAAATACTTATTTCAGTATGTAAGCTTTGATTCTAGTCCAATCATATCATTGGTAAAGTGAAAACGGCTGCACGGTTCGTGATGCGACTTTAATGCAGTCAGAAACCAATTGATTGATTATCTGGATTTGAGGTCGTCGTGGCCTAAAGGATAAGACGTCTGGTGCCTTCGTGTTGAGCGATGCACCGGTGTTCGAATTTCAGGCGGGTATAAATTTTTCTAATGAAATACGTACTCAACAAATGTTCACGATTGACTTCCACGGTGAAGGAATAACATCGTGTAATAAAAATCAAACCAGCAAAATTATAATTTTCGTAATTACTGGTGGGAGGACCTCTTGTGAGTCCACATGGGTGGGTACCACCACCCTGCCTATTTCTGCCGTGAAGCAGTAATGCGTTTCGGTTTTAAGGGTGGGGCAGCCGTTGTAACTATACTTGAGACCTTAGAACTTATATCTCAAGGTGGGTGGCACATTTACGTTGTAGATGTTTATAGGCTCCAGTAACCACTTAACACCAGGTGGGCTGTGAGCTCGTCCACCCATATAAGTAATATATATATTTTTTAATTCTTTGAGCAACTCTGAACTCAATTAGCAGGAGTCACGCAGAAAATCGTGTAGCACGTATTTTTTGTCTTAAGACATTCAGACTTCAAACACGAGATTAAAATTTTTCACGGAACTACTGGACGCTACTATTTTGAATGATGATTAATCTTCATAAAACAAATGAAAAAAAATGGTGACAGTAATTGTTGGAATAATGATATTGCGTCGTATTGAAGACGACTCCGGCTACGGCAATCAAAAATTGCTTAATTAAGCACATTATAATTTTTTTGCTAATGTAATTTATATTATTATTATTTTAATAAAAATAAAAAAAATCGAACTTTTAGTAGTAGACAATTTGATCAAATTACTTTATTGTGAGATGGTGTGTTCTTATTGCATATGAAGCATGAGTGTATCGTCCATCTGGTAGTGAGTGGTCATCTTAATCTTGTAGATCCATACAATGTCTAAGGCTAGCTAAACCGTTGCCTACCACTTAGGACTCTCATCGAACCAACTTTGGAAAAGATCACAGAGCAAAGAAATTCTTGTTGATACTTTATTAAAGAGATGGATGACGTGGAAATGGAACGTGGATCAATACAGTGGTCCCATCGGAAGAATTAAATTTTTTAATAGTGTTCATGGACATACAAGCATATGACCCATGTGATGATGAGTTGTCACTGTCGCTTGTGGTTATTAACAATGCTAGGGGCTGAGTTAAGATGCTGTTTGTCGCAACGATGAGTTAGGTATACCGATAACACTTTGTTCTCATGTTGCATTGGGGAGAGTAGTCTTCACTATACATGGTTGGTATGGTAAGGCTTATGTATACGCCTAGTTTCACAAGGGAAATGACTCGGTGTTTTTTTGATTGCTTAAAAGGTTGAACGAGCTCACGGCTCACCTGGTGCTAAGTGAGTACTGGAGCCCATAGACATCAGCAACGTTAATGCTACCCAGCTTGAGACGTGAAATTTAAGTTTCAGTTTTAGAGTACTATATACTGCCCCACCCTTTGAGATCGGAAAACGTTACAATTTTTTGCGTTCCTTGGAGTTACATAATTTTTATGAATACAATAATTGAACACATGAGTGGATGAAGGGGTTAAGTACAATTTTTAAGATTTTTTAAGATGTGCCTAAAATCATATTAGATCTTAAAACTTCGGGATTTTTAGAAACATTTTTTATAATAGAAATTGCATATGATGAAGGAATTATGTACGAAGAAAAAGCACAAATAACAAAAGTTTGTTGCCCGTTTTCTCAAAATTAACAAATTGTGGCATATACTTAGTCTGGCCATAAATACTGTTACAATTAAAAATAAAAAAAAAATCTATTGCAAATAACATTTATTACTTTTACAGTGTGTTAGTTTAATACATAGATATAAAACAATTTAAAGTATAAAAAGCTTATTCGAAGTGATCTCCATTGGCTGCAATACAGTCCTTTAAACGTTGAGGTCAGTTATCAATAGAAGCACGCACCCTTCCCATGGGAAAAATTTTCACTGCCAATCGTACGGATTATTTTAGGAACTCCAAATTATCATGGCGTTTAGAACAAGCCGTACTCTTTAAAACTGACCATAAATCATAATCCAGCGGATTAAGATCGGGACTAGACGACGGCCAGTTTTCAGCTCTGAAGAAGTCCGAAACGTTCGTTTCCAACCAAGACTGTGTAGACCGAGCTTTAGTATCTTGATACACTTGTGCCGATGTTTTGATACCTTTTTCACAAAAGTATGGCCCAGTCACTCTTTCATAGCTAATACCCCACCAAACCATTACTGAAGTCGGATAGTGCCCACGTTGCACTCTGTCGACTAATTGGGAAGCTTCCTTAGAGCTTTGAGCATAAATACGGTCATTTTGTTTGTTATTGAATTGAATTAAGTTTGAAATTGTAAAAAATTTCTCATCCGTAAACAAAATTTTTCTATGACCTCCCTTTGTGTACCGCTTCAGTAGTTGTTTCGATTTTACCACCCTATTCTCTTTTAAATTATCAGTTAAGAAATTACCAGTACGTCTCTTATAGGTTGCAAGTCCTAAGTCATCTTTTAAAATACGCGGCATGGTTCTAGGTGCTATCTTCATCTCCCGAGATAAAATATTTTGCTTTCGGACAGGATTTCTTCGAATTCTTTCCCTTATTGCTTTGACCACCTTTCTCGTACACTATGTGGACGGCCAGATCTTTTTCTGTCACAAACAGGGGAGGTCTCGTTGCACCTATTAATAGGTACACAAACATTTTACTAATACCAAGCGTATGGAGAGTTTTAAAAATTGCATTTGGCTCCATACCTACTTTGTGTAATGCTGTCACAGCGATTCGGTTCTCTTTATCACCCCACTCCATTTTAATATCGCAAAATATTGTACAATGTATTGGCGCCAAAATGAGAAAACTCAATGAGCAATCATATAAAAATGACAGATTCCAAATTCAAATGTAATATTTTGTTTATTTTTAATTGTAACCGTATTTATGGCCAGACTAAGTATATACCCTTCCTCCACTCATGTCTTCAATTATGAACAAGGAAATTTAGTCTACCGTTAAAAATAATATTCGTTTTGTTCCCAGTCCGGACATACTTTAGAGAAAGACGTGGAGTCTCCGACTGTGACGTCATCGAATTTAAAGTTCGGATGGATCAAGGGCGTGCTGATGCGGTGCCTCCTGAACATATGGGGCGTGATGCTGTTCTTGAGGCTATCTTGGGTCGTGGGACAAGCTGGAGTCGGTTCGTATTTAACATATTGTTTCGCATGTTTAAGGTTAACAAGTTAACCACTAGTTTAATAATTATTAATTTAAATTATAAGTTTGAACATTATATCGTTCTATTGTCAAAGATTTTGCTTCTATAATCAAAGATTTCGCCAAAGCTACACTATAGTATAGACAAAATAGTTTAATTATATCTCCGATCCGGGAAAACCGAAAAAAGTAACATTCTTCGTCGCTTTCTTTATTACTGAAGGTCGTGTCCTTGACACTTGACCGTGGCCTGCCTTGTCAACTGCTTCCATCTTGTCATATGTAGAACTCCTTCTTGTCATGATAATAACAAGTCTCAAACTTTCGACTCGTTTGTTTTTTTTTTTTTATTGCTTAGATGAGTGGACGAGCTCATAGCCCACCTGATGTTAAGTGGTTACTGGAGCCCATAGACATTCACAACGTAAATGCGCCACCCACCTTGAGATACAAGTTCTAAGGTCTCAAGTATAGTTACAACGCCTGCCCCACCCTTTAAACCGAAACGCATTACTGCTTCACGGCAGAAATAGGCAGGGTGGTGGTACCTACCCGTGCGGACTCACAAGAGTCCTACCACCAGTTATGTTATGTGGTTGCGACCCTCAGCAGTGAGGGAATGATGATGAAGAAGACACTCATTGTGGCGTTTGGCTGTAAAGTGTGATCTATTTGCTTGTCTTCCGACAGCGCAGTCTGTTCTCTTGATCCTCACGACATCAGTGGTGACCACTATAACCGCCCTGTCAATGTCGGCGATCTGTACCAATGGTGTTATTAAAGGGGGTAAGCTGACATTTTATTTGTTGTATTAGTATTATTGTTTATTTATCAAAATAAAGTATAGCCTAGTAAAACTATAGCACAAACTGAGTTGCTCTATAAAGAGAAACAACATTTAAAGCCATTGCTTCACCAGTTTTTATGTTTTTTTATATTTCAAACATTCAAAAATGTTTTAATATTTCTAATGTTCCTTCTTCTAATGTTTCAATATTCAAATTATCATTTACGTCACGTTTATAACATATTAACCTCTTTTAAGATTTATCCCATAAATCATATAGAGGCTACATATAATTTTTTTTATTGCTTAGTTTGGTGGACGAGCTCACAGCCCACCTGGTGTTAAGTGGTTACTGGAGCCCATAGACATCTACAACGTAAATGCGCCACCCACTTTGAGATATAAGTTCTAAAGATTCAATATAGTTACAACGGCTGCCTAGCCTTCAAACCGAAACGCATTACTGCTTAACGGCAGAAATAAGCGGGGTGGTGGTACCTACACATGCGAACTCAGAAGAGGTCCTACCACACCATACACACCTTTTCTAAATTGTCACCTCTGTTTCTAGCAATGTGTCAAAGAACTCAAAACTCCTTCATACAATTAAGTATGTTACAATACGGGTTTTATTTTCCCAGGTGGCACATATTACATGATATCTCGCTCATTGGGCCCAGAGTTCGGTGGTTCTATAGGTCTCATATTCTCCGTGGCTAATGCGGTGGCGTGCGCCATGTACATTGTCGGCTTCGGGGAAGCTCTGATGTCTCTCATACCAGAATCTGCCTATATGGTCAGCAAAAGTTGGGTAAGTTCAAATTAAGTGGTTCTATGTCACTGGCTATTGATAGTAATAGCATCTGATTGTTAATTATTTATATCTGGAGAAAAGTCGTAATGCGCAATGTAACACATATTAAAGTTAACGATGCGGTAATGGATTGAATTTAATTAAAAGACAGAAATCAATTAATTCGACTGTTATGAATTTAAAAAAGATGTGTGGTGTCGCGGGACACCGGATAGGAACGAAGTTCCTTATTATAAGAATATTAATTTTAAGTTCTATTCGAGATATAAAAAGAATAATTATTCGGGTATACATTTTTCATTATGATTTTTTTATTGATAAAAAAACTACTTTACAAAGTTATCAACTTTATTTTATTCATAATGATTTGTAAAAATATATATAATAATAATATACAAAGAAATAGCTATTAATATAACTTTTCTCTGGATTATCCTGCGCCAGTCCTATCTATCCTTGGCAGCGCGGATTGCGTCGTGGCTTGAGGTGTTCAGAGTAGAGCTTTTTTTTTTTTGCTTGGATGGGTAGACGATCTCACAGCCCACCTGGTGTTAAGTGGTTACCGGAGCCCATAGACATCTACAACTATACATTAGACACTGTATAGCCATCATACTAAGACTATACATAAATCATAAAAATCTTACGTTACGGACGTTTTTTCCCGGTTAAGGTACCCCTCCGCATCGTCCCATAAGGAACTTAGTTCAAAAATAATTTGAAAAAAAAAAAGGTTTGGCAAGCGTCTGTATTTGGTGCCGAAGCCAAGAGAGGCTTTGGAAATAACGACGAAGGGATAATCTTCCACGGAGCGGGGGATTTTGCTCGGTAGACCGACGCGACGGTCTGAATGTTGTAGGAACTTGTAGCGATGTAGCGCTATAGATAGAGCAGCCCGTTTTTCTTTCCAATACGCAGCAGTAACGTCGCACGAAAACAAATGTTTTCCAGGATCAAGCAATATACGGGTGCATAACGGTGGTAGTGTTGACCGGTATCGTGATAGTCGGGATGGAGTGGGAGGCCAAAGCACAGATAGTGCTGCTCATCATTCTGCTGGTGGCCATCGCGGACTTCTGCGTCGGCTCTATCATTGGCCCAAAGAGCGACGAGGAGGCCGCCCGTGGCTTCGTCGGATATAGCAGTGAGTAAACGTGTCTCACACTAGGGGTTCCAGTCCTCGAAGTCCTTCATGCGGCCAATGATCGGCGCTGGAGGGACATTGCAAGAAGTAAAATCCTGTCAAAATATGATGGTCACGACCCTCAGCAGTGAGGAAACGACGCGAGGAGCAGGGAAACGTGTCCTATGGTTTTAGGAAAAACACTCAAATCTGAAAAGACTCGAAGAGTGACGGTGAGCCCGTGTGTCGGCATCTTTGTCTTGAGTCTTTCTTGCGTGAAGTTTTCCGGTGTGAAGACTATGAGCCACTATAAAATATATCTCTAAGGTGGCTTTCAGTAGTGATATCTATGAGCTCCGGTAGCCATTTTATACCGAATGAATCGTGAGCTCGTTTAGTAAGGCAATTTAAAAATAGAGTAGTAAGGTAGGCAGTAGAATCGAGTCTTTGATCTCATCTCTCCTCATCGACTGATTAAACGCCATCTTTTTCACAAATTACAAAACTATTTTCTTTTAAGTATAGGCCGCCGCGTATTATAAGGTTTACTGGAGCCTACACCGAATACCACAGGTGATGGAACTGCTAACTCATCACTAGGTAGTACCAAAAATCATCAAAATTATATTCTTTTTTGCTTCGCATAAACGTCTTCGTTGGTGATGCTTGGTTGAATGCAGTCATCGACACCTTTTTTTTTTCGGGCCGGGCCCGAACCTCCTATGAGGTCCCCGCGCCTAGGGAGCGCGCGGGGTATGTGGGACTCAATGATCTGCAGATGTTGAGAGCAGACCGCGGGCCCAAGGAACAATCATCGACCCCTAACTTTTGTACTAATTCACTGCGGGCTTGCGACCTTTAGAATGCCCTAAAACAATGAGTATTCATTGCCAATTAATAACATTTATTCATTTACAATCATGGTCGTGTACTTGTCTACAGTGGAGGTGCTGTGGCAGAACATGGGGCCCGACTACCGCTATTACGAGGGCGTCCATCACAACTTCTTCTCGGTATTCTCCATATTCTTCCCGGCCGCTACCGGGATATTAGCCGGCGCCAACATTTCGGGAGATTTGAAGGTATGACGGGATAGGGGAGAGAGAGGGAGAGAGAGGGAGAGAGAGGGAGAGAGAGGGAGAGAGAGAAATCAGAAANTAATTTTAGAGCAATACCAAAGATGCTAGCCTTCTAAGGCGCTAAGTATCACAGCTTAATAAGTTCATGTATTTCACTATCATTCACTACCCGCTCTTCAAGCTCGCTGTACATCTCCATTAAAATATATCAGAACAATATCAAGTGTTGGAGTTTTATTACCACGAGAAACTCCCTTATGTACCACAAGCCGGTACATGTAGTTTTGAGGTTTACCTACCCATTACCCATTTTATAATAATTCCAGTAATTTTCAATTGCTAATGAACACTAAAATATATCTCAAAAGTTAATATTTTAAATTTTACACTGCTTTAGAAAATAATCAGTTTTTTTTTTTCATTTCCTGAACATTTTACATTTTCAGAGATGTACCCTTTTCGAAATTGCATATTCAATTATTAACAAGGAAATTTAGTCTACCATTAAAAATAATATTCGTTTTGTTCGCAGTCCGGACATACTTTAGAAAAAGACGTGGAGTCTCCGACTGTGACGTCATCGAATTTAAAGTTCGGATGGATCAAGGGCGTGCTGATGCGGTGCCTCCTGAACATATGGGGCGTGATGCTGTTCTTGAGGCTATCTTGGGTCGTGGGACAAGCTGGAGTCGGTTCGTATTTAACATATTGTTTCACATGTTTAAGGTTAACAACTAGTTTAATAATTATTAATTTAAATTATAAGTTTGAACAATATTATCGTTCTATTGTCAAAGATTTTGCTTCTATAATCAAAGCTTTCGCCAAAGCTACACTATAGTACCTATAGACAAATAAGTTTAATTATATCTACGATCCGCGAAAACTGAAAAAAACTAATATTCTTCGTCGCTTTCTTCATTACTGAAGGTCGTATCCTTGAAACTTGACCGTGGCCTTCCTTGTCAACTGTTTCCATCTTGTCATATGTGGAACTCCTTCTTGCCATGAAAATAACAAGTCTCAAACTTTCGACTCGTTTATGTTTTTTTTTTTTCTTGCTTAGATGAGTGGACGAGCTCACAGCCCACCTGATGTTAAGTGGTTACTGGAGCCCATAGACATTCACAACGTAAATGCGCCACCCACCTTGAGATACAAGTTCTAAGGTCTCAAGTATAGTTACAACGGCTGCCCCACCCTTCAAACCGAAACGCATTACTGCTTCACGGCAGAAATAGGCAGGGTGGTGGTACCTACCCGCGCGGACTCACAAGAGGTCCTACCACCAGTAATGTTATGTGGTTGCGACCCTCAGCAGTGAGGGAATGATGATGAAGAAGACACTCATTGTGGCGTTTGGCTGTAAAGTGTGATGTATTTGCTTGTCTTCCGACAGCGCAGTCTGTTCTCTTGATCCTCACGACATCAGTGGTGACCACTATAACGGCCCTGTCAATGTCAGCGATCTGTACCAATGGTGTTATTAAAGGGGGTAAGCTGACATTTTATATATTATATTAGTATTATTTTTTATTTATCAAAATAAAGTTTGGCCTAGTAAAACTATAGCACAAACTGAGTTGATCTATAAAGAGAAACAACATTTAAAGCCATCACTTCACCAGTTTTTGTGTTTTTTTATATTTCAAACATTCAAAAATGTTTTAATATTTCTAATGTTCCTTCTGTTCGTCACGTTTATAACATATTAACCTCTTTTAAGATTTATCTCATAAATCATATAGAGGCTACATATATTATTTTTTTATTGCTTAGATAGGTGGACGAGCTCACAGCCCACCTGGTGTTAAGTGGTTACTGGAGCCCATAGATATGTACAACGTAAATGCGCCACCCACCTTGAGATGTAAGTTCTAAAGTTTCAATATAGTTACAACGGCTGCCTAACCTTCAAACCGAAACGCATTACTGCTTCACGGCAGAAATAAGCGACCCCGCTTATTTCTGCCGTGGTGGTACCTACCCATGAGGACTCAGAAGAGGTCCTACCACACCATACACACCTTTTCTAAATTGTCACCTCTGTTTCTAGCAATGTGTCCAAAGAACTCAAAACTCCTCCATACAATTAAGCATGTTAAAATACGGGTTTTATTTTCCCAGGTGGCACATATTACATGATATCTCGCTCATTGGGCCCAGAGTTCGGTGGTTCTATAGGTCTCATATTCTCCGTGGCTAATGCGGTGGCGTGCGCCATGTACATTGTCGGCTTCGGGGAAGCTCTGATGTCTCTCATACCAGAATCTGCCTATATGGTCAGCAAAAGTTGGGTAAGTTCAAATTAACTAGTTCTATGTCACTGGCTATTGATGGTAATGGCGTCTGATTGTTAATTATTTATATCTGGAGATAAGTCGTAATGCGTAATGTAACACATATTAAAGTTAACGATGCGGTAATGGATTGAATTTAATTAAAAGACAGAAATCAATTAATTCGACTGTTATGAATTTAAAAAAGATGTGTGGTGTCGCGGGACACCGGATAGGAACGAAGTTCCTTATTATAAGAATATTAATTTTAAGTTCTATTCGAGATATAAAAAGGATAATTATTCGGGTATACATTTTTTATTATGTTTTTTTATTGATAAAAAAAACTACTTTACAAAGTTATCAACTTTATTTTATTCATAATGATTTGTAAAAATATATATAATAATATACAAAGAAATAGCTATTAATATAACTTTTCTCTGGATTATCCTGCGCCAGTCCTATCTATCCTTGGCTGCGCGGATTGCGTCGTGGCTTGAGGTGTTCAGAGTAGAGCATATTTTTTTTTTTGCTTGGATTGGTAGACGATCTCACAGCCCACCTGGTGTTAAGTGGTTACTGGAGCCCATAGATATCTACAACTATACATTAGACACTGTATAGCCATCATACTAAGACTATACATAAATCATAAAAATCTTACGTTACGGACGTTTTTTCCCGGTTAAGGTACCCCTCCGCATCGTCCCATAAGGAACTTCGTTCAAAAATAATTTGAAAAAAAAAGGTTTGGCAAGCGTCTGTATTTGGTGCCGAAGCCAAGAGAAATTTTTGATTTTTTCAAATAACGACGAAGGGATAATCTTCCACGGAGCGGGTGATTTTGCTCGGTAGACCGACGCGACGGTCAGAATGTTGCTGTTAGGAACTTGTAGCGATGTAGCGCTAAAGATAGCGCAGCCCGTTTTTCTTTCCAATACGCAGCAGTAACGTCGCACGAAAACAAATGTTTTCCAGGATCAAGCAATATACGGGTGCATAACGGTGGTAGTGTTGACCGGAATCGTGATAGTCGGGATGGAGTGGGAGGCCAAAGCACAGATAGTGCTGCTCATCATTCTGCTGGTGGCCATCGCGGACTTCTGCGTCGGCTCTATCATCGGCCCGAAGAGCGACGAGGAGGCCGCCCGTGGCTTCGTCGGATATAGCAGTGAGTAAACGTGTCTCACACTAGTCCCATTCCACGAAGTCCTTCATGCGGCCAATGAACGGCGCTGGAGGGACATTGCAAGAAGTAAAATCCTGTCAAAATATGAGGGTCACGACCCTCAGCAGGGAGGAAACTGCGCGAGGAGTAGGGAAACGTGTCCTATGGTTTTAGGAAAAACACTAAAATCTGAAAAGACTCGAAGAGTGTCGGTGAGCCCGTGTGTCGGCATCTTTGTGTTGGGTCTTTCTGACGTGAGGTTTTCCGGTGTGAAGACTCGATGAGCCATTATACAATATATCTCTAAGGTGGCTTTCAGTAGTGATATCTATGAGCTCCGGTAGCCATTTTATACCGAATGAATCGTAAGCTCGTTTAGTAAGGCAATTTAAAAATAGAGTAGTAAGGTAGGCAGTAGAATCGAGTCTTTGATCTCATCTCTCCTCATCGACTGATTAAACGCCATCTTTTTCACAAATTACAAAACTATTTTCCTTTAAGTATAGGCCGCCGCGTATTATAAGGTTCACTAGAGCCTACACCGAATACCACAGGTGATGGAACTGCTAACTCATCACTAGGTAGTACCAAAAATCATCAAAATTATATTTTTCTTCGTATAAACGTCTTCGTTGGTGATGTTTGGTTGAATGCAGTCATCGACACCTTTTTTTTTTTCGGGCTTGGGCTGAACCTCCTACGAGGTCCCCGCGCCTACGGGGCGCGCGGGGTATGTGGGACTCAATGATCTGCAGATGTTGAGAGCAGACCGCGGGCCCAAGGAACAATCATCGACCCCTAACTTTTGTACTAATTCACTGCGGGCTTGCGACCTTTTGATTGCCCTAAAACAATGAGTATTGATTGCCAATTTATAACATTTATTCATTTACAATCATGTTCGTATACTTGTTTACAGTGGATGTGCTGTGGCAGAACATGGGGCCCGACTACAGATATTACGAGGGCGTCCATCACAACTTCTTCTCGGTATTCTCTATATTCTTCCCGGCCGCTACCGGGATATTAGCCGGCGCCAACATTTCGGGAGATTTGAAGGTATGACGGGATAGAGAGAGAGAAAGAGAGAGAGAAAATACACTTTATTACACACCAAAACACAATGAACATTAGAAAAGAGTCAAGAAGTAGATACATTTGTATAATACTCGGTCTTATCGCCAAATGCGATATTTTATTTTAACAAAATATATTATTGATCTTAGTACGGAGAGTCTTTAAATATTGAATATCGAAGGTGGTTGATAGTTGAGCGGGCTTGGGAATGTTCACCGAGACTCATGAGTTCGGGGGATGTTTCATTGTTTGCACTAAATCAGTAGCATATTTATTGTGCCGTTGTGGTCTGATCCTTCGTTTACTATACCGTTTCTTGTTTTCTCGGCTTCTGTGTTTCCCGGCTCATAATGAAACATCACACGCCGATGTGGACATTTCTCAATCCAAATGCCGTATTCACATCTCGTGTGTGACTCAAGTGTTTTAGCTGATCTATAGTTCGAATTGAAATGCTTTCTTGCCTTTATAAATAGGATGCTGGTGTCTAACAGATATTCTGCATTTCGTATTGCCCATGTAGGCAGATGAGCATACGGCGTACCTGATGGTCGAGTGGTTACCGTAATCCCATGGACTTCAGTATTGCCCGGGGCAGGGCCAAGTCGCTGCCTACAGTAAAAACCGAAAGGGGAAGATGACGTTTGTTCGCAGAAAAACTAAATTACGAGTATGACATTATGATATTTATGGGAGGGAATGTCCACGCGTTCTATTACTTCGAGCGCGAGTACTCGTGGTGGTGGTACTTTTACTGGTGGTAGGACCTCTTGCGAGTCCGCACGGGTAGGTACCACCGCCCCGCCTATTTCTGCCGTGAAGCAGTAATGCGTTTCGGTTCGAAGGGTGGGGTAGCCGTTGTAACTATACTTGAGAACTTAGAACATGTATCTCAAGGCGGGTGGCGCATTTACGTTGTAGATGTTTATGGGCTCCAGTAACCACTTAACACCAGGTGGGCTGTGAGGTCATACACCCATGCAGCGGAATCCTCTCTCTGATCACGACGTGTGGTTGTAATTCCAGGACCCTCAGAAGTCGATCCCGAAGGGCACGCTGCTCGCCATCCTGCTGACGACGCTGTCGTACCTGCTGATAGCGGTGGTGTCGGGCTGGTCGGTGCTGCGGGACGCGTCGGGGCACGTGGGGGACCTGGCCGCCGGCTCGCTGGCCGCCTGCGCGCGCAACCACACCTGCGCGTACGGGCTGCAGAACGACTACCATGTGAGCACATCCGCCATGAGGGGCCGCGGGACACGTCCGGGGTAGATGATTGCCATTATATATGACGGCGCCAGGGACGGCTGAGCGGCAGTTCTGTCATCACTCGTATTCGGTTGAACCCGCTGTATTGCAATAATTGCAATAAAAGTTAATAAAACCGATAGACCGACTTTACTGCCTGAGACGACTCTGTCCACGCACCGCCATTTTAAGGCTTCGCTCGGCTAACGCGTAATTAGCGCTCTGACGCGCGCTAATTACGCGTTCTGTTTGACGAAGCCTTTATACTCGGGCGTTACGGCGTCTACCCCACATTCTTGTGATATTTATCAAAAAAACATTTTATCATTTAAAATAATAATCAAAACAATGTCTTAATATTACTAAAGTCGACATATAAATTATTAATATTTATGCTTTACCAATACTTATTTATTTATCCAGTTATTTGTGTTTATAAACGTTAAACATATTCTGAGCATTTTGACATCAAAACAGTGTCTGCTAATTATTAAATATTGTAGAATAACAGTTTCATCTTACTAGTAATAAATAAATATTAACATAGAACAAACTAAACTATATATTACCATGCCAATTATTGCCAATAGTGGCGTTTGCGCCCATATATACTTAGAAGTAATTTGTGATATAGAATAAATGCGAAAAAATTATTATGGAATAGCGGAGTTAATTGTAAAATAATATTTTTAATCATAATTAGGAAGCTAGCAATGAGGGCGCTACTAATCCTTTCAAACTCACTTTGATAGCGATGACGTCATAGTCTCTTCTTCCTTTTCTCCACCTTATCCTACTAGGTGGGGTCGGCACAGCTAATTTTTCTCTTTTATTATCTTCTATCAGCCGTCCTCTCAACACTCCCTCCTCTCTGTCTCATATCGTCATTCACACACTCCATCTATGTTTTATTCGGTCGACCTCTTCCCCCTCTACCGTGTACTATCATTTCCATACATCTCCTAGTCACATGCATCTTCTCTCTACGCATCACATGTCCATACCACGCTAGACGTCATAGTCACGAATCATCAGATTCGAGTATCTTCAAGTATTCTTTGATGGGGATTGTTCTATTTGTCCTTGGAGCACTGAGACGCACGTCGGCATTCGTTCATCCCCAGGTGGTGCGGCTGGTGTCGGCCTTCGGTCCGCTCATTCACGGAGGTTGCTTCGCGGCGGCGCTCTCCTCCGCGCTGGCCTCTCTGGTCTCCGCTCCGAAAGTCTTCCAAGTAAGTTACAACTGCTTGTCTTATTCGGCGTGCAGCAGCCCTCGCCCGTGGACAGGGGTGTCAAACCGGAGACCACGTGTGGGGGACCACGATCACTTGTGGGGGGACCACGCACTAACCATCGTGGACTGTCCATATACTACTCATATCCCAACTGATAACCTAGGAGCGCTTTGATAAGAACTAAATCCTTCACTTCCACACTAGGTATTTCATGTATCCCCCACCCCCTTTCAAGAGCATTCCAGATTATTCTGTACGTGATGAGAAGACTTTTTCCTCTTTTTAAAACACAACACTGACTATCGATTGTCAAATAAAGTCAATCTGACAAGCTATAAAAATATCGAACATATTTTGTGTACGTTTAAATAAATGAATATAAGCACCAAAAGGATAAACGTGTCTACTCATGACACGAATTTTTGTCTAATGCGGAAATGGAAGCCACGCCCCTGGGTCCAGCAGAACACGCAGATGCTAGACGCAGAGGCGACAGTGGCGAGCAGCGCGGGGACCGGGGGCGGGGGGTCGGGGGGGGGGGCGGGGAGTGATCATGTGACTCATAAAGAGGACCGTTCTATCCCCAGGCGCTGTGTCAGGACAAGCTGTACCCCTATATCGAGTTCTTCGCTAAGGGCTACGGACCCAACAACGAGCCTGTGCGAGGGTACGTGCTGACCTTCGTCATCGCCACAACCTTCATACTCCTGGGTGAGTTCAGCGGGTCGATCCAGGTCTGATGTCGCCACAGTCAGCTTGTCGTGAGAATTTTGTAATATTTCTTTCGTTGTTCGCTTGATGTGTCTCTGATAAAGTTACAAAGTTATGAAAATAGAATATTTTGATCAATCTATACATATAAATAAAATTGGAGTGTCTGTTTGTAATATTGAAATAACCGCTTTTTACTACCTGCATACAATTTTTGTCTGTCTATCTGTTTGTTCCGGCTAATCTCTGGAACGGCTGGACCGATTTTGACGGGACTTTGACCGATAGGTAGCTGATGGCATTAAGAGTAACGTAGGCTACTTTTTTGGACTAGCTTCGCCTCGCAGCGTCACCCGCGGTACGACAATAATCGCGAGTAACATCGCGGGACTCAGCTGTCAATAATAAAATTTAATGTTTCCGAAGCGAAGCGAGGACGGGTCGCTAGTTATAAATAAATGCAGACATAATTTTCTTTGATTATACAAATAAATAATCACGGTTATGATTTGAAGGAAGCTGCAGCTGTTGTAGTGTAAAATTGAGAACTCATGTGAAATTGAGGAGAATACGCTGTAGACATCTATGGACTTTTTTCAAGGCGTAATATAATTTAAGAATGTATTGTCAGGTGGCCTGAACCAGATAGCCCCGCTGATATCGAACTTCTTCCTGGCGGCCTACACGCTCATCAACTTCTCCACGTTCCACGCGAGCCTCGCCAGGCCCGTCGGCTGGAGACCCACCTTCAGGGTGAGTACAGACTCTCCCCCCCACCCCCTCCCCACACGGGCTCCAAGGAACAATGCCGAAACACCATCTAACTTTCAGTCTTTTTACCATCGTACCGCCACCCACCGGAGTAGGGTTCATCCATACTACCTGAAGCTACTGCGTTCATCCACAGTTCCAGAGAACTTTTTTGCCGCGTACCATCCGGCGTTGGAATGAGCTCCCCTCCACAGTGTTTCCCGAGCGCTATGACATGTCCGTCTTCAAACTGTAACTATATTGAGACCTTAGAACTTATATCTCAAGGTGGGTGGCGCATTTACGTCGTACATGTCTAGGGGCTCCAGTAACCACTTAACACCAGGTGTCCGCGCCAGTACTTCACGTACAAGCGGGGACTACGAGGTCTGCGGGGGGGTCCAACCACCACCACGGCATCGACGACTCGAGCGGCGAGGACCGAACACACACAGCGACACAGAACACTACTGGAACGATATAGAATCGCACGCGCGACTCGCGGCTAATATTGCATTAAAACTTTATATACAGTCCACTTAACAATAAAACCTCAAGAACAAAACCTTTATTTTACTGAGCTACCGAACACCAGGTGGGCTGTGAGCTCGTCCACGCATCTAAGCAATAAAAAAAAACGAGGTTTGTGGAAAATACTTAACTGTAGGTAACGGTAACCACTAACTATCAGGTGGATATGTAACATATGCTCGTCTGCCTAAAGACAAAAAAGAAATAGTTTAAGGCCGCACGACAGTCTCTATATCGGTTGCCCCCGCAGTTTTACAACATGTGGCTGTCGCTGCTGGGCTCGGTGCTGTGCGTGGTCATCATGTTCGTGGTGTCGTGGAGCCAGGCGCTCGGCACCTTCGCCTTCCTGCTCGCCCTCTACCTGCTCGTGTCCTACAGGAAGCCAGGTGAGCCACGCGCAGACAGGGACAGACGTATGCCAGTCGCTACCGGCGCGACAAGGACAAGTGCTATGTCCTATACAAACATCTATATATATCTTATAGTGGGTAGGTCGTCTTTTTTGAGTCCGCGCGGGTAGGTACCACCACCCCGCCTATTTCTGCCGTGAAGGGTGGGGCAGCCGTTGTACTGTAAAAACGGAGACCTTAGAACTCATTTCTCAAGGTAGGTGGTGGCATTTACGTTGTAGATGTCTATGGGCTCCGGTGACCACTTAACATCAAGTGAGCCGTGAAATCTTCCACCTATCGAAGCAATATCTGCTCGACAATACTCATCGCGATAATATGAATATTCGTTGTAGCTAATGTAGCCCCAGCCTCTAAAGGCTCTAAAAGCTTAGATAGGAAGGTTATGGCGACAAGTGAACTGGTGTTGCAGACGTGAACTGGGGCTCCACGACGCAGGCGCAGACGTACAAGACGGCGCTGGCCGGCGTGCAGCTGCTCAACGGGATCGACGAGCACGTCAAGAACTACAGGTAACCCTCCCACCAGCCCTCGCACCAGCCCTCGCACCAGCCCTCCCACCAGCCCTCCCACCAGCCCTCCCACCAGCCCTCCCACCAGCCCTCCCACCAGCCCTCCCATCAGCCCTCCCACCAGCCCTCGCACCAGCCCTCGCACCAGCCGTTAGCCGCAGAAGGCTACTGTCATATCGAGAAGCAAAACGCAATTTCTCTTAATACGCGACATTTATCTTTGTAATTACAGCTTTCTAATCGGTAGGCAGCGGCTTGGCTCTGTCCCCGGCTTTGCTGAAGTCCATGGGCGACGGTAACCACTCGCCATCAGGTGGGCCGTGTGCTAGTCTGCCTTAAAGGGCAATTAAAAAAAATATAATTGCAGGGTCCGTTTTATTTAGTATCAGTATCAACAGTTCGATGTTTTTAATTGAACTTCAATTATGTTAACCATATCTCAAATACCTGAAGAAGCTTTTTTGACGATGATATTTTTTCCAAATTTTAAGCTTTAAATAGCTCTCCTATAAAGTTGTACAAATATCGCTCCCGTCAAATAGCCTTTCACTCGTCGATAAGGGTATTCCAAAAAAAAGTAAGTCTAAAAATATCACAAAAAGAAATCAATTAATTTTTCACTCTATGAGCACTTCATTCAAGACTCATATTACGTCGTTAGTTTGGAAAGGTATTCTGAAATACCATTATTAATCACTGCATAGGATAAAACAAAGTCTGTCCCTATATCCATATGTATGCTTAAATCTTTAAAACTACGCCACGGATTTTGATGCGGTTTTTTTTATAGATAGAGTGATTAAAGAGGAAGTTTTATATGTATAATAACATCCATTAAATAGTGGAGAAATCTATATTTATAAAATGAATTGCTGTTCGTTAGTCTCGCTAAAACTCGAGAACGGCTGGACCGATTTGACTAATTTTGGTCTTGAATTATTTGTGGAAGTCCAGAGAAGGTTTAAAAGGTAGATAAATATGAAAATTCTCGGAATTAAATAAAAATAACAATTTTGTTTTCCTTTGATGTGTCCCCCATCGGACGGATTTCAGGTCTGTTGTTTATCGACTGAGGCACTACGAAGTCTGCCGGGTCAGCTAGTCAATAATAAATTATAGTTTCGGAAGCGAAGCGAGGGCGGGTCGCTAATATTTGTACAAGTACTTGATGTCAAAGTGGAATGCTGCTTCCACGTAATGAGACTATTTGCCGACTTGGTATCCGATCTGCTCAAGTGTATCCTTGTGCAGGCCGCAAGTCCTGGTGCTGACGGGGTTCCCGGGGGAGCGGCCGCTGCTCACCGACTTCACGTACCTGCTCACCAAGGGACTGTCGCTGATGCTGTGCGGACAGATCGTTCAAGTATGTGAAGTTCTTGCTCTTACGCCGCACATCTATACTTATGTACTAATATGTAAATCTACAGTGGTTTTTACGAATGTTCCGTTATAACTACTGAACCGTGCATGCGATTGACTTGACACTTGGTAAAAATACATGTACTTAATGGATAGGCTAATATTTATATGAGTGTTGGACTCCCTACACCAGTTACTGTTGCGGGGGCGTTAATGATGAGAATCTTTGTGCGAGGTGAGAAATAATAATGTTAATTTTAAATGCCCAGCGAGGCGGACGGGTACAGCTAGTACATATATAATACCCTAATGAAAATTCGTTATTAAAAAATGACTGGTGGTAGGACCTCTCGTGAGTCGGTATAAGTATATTGAGATATCTCGTATATCTTACAACTTATATCTCTAGGTGGGTGGTCTCAATTTACGTTGTAGATGTCTATGGGTCCCAGCAGCCACTTAACAGCAGGTGGGCTGTGAGCTCGACCACACATCTAAGCAATAAAAAAACATTTCTTGAAAAATTTATTTGAAGAAATCATTTGAAATCATTTTTTTTTTACTTTTCCTCTCAAAATCGCAGTATCTATGAAAAAAAAAACAATAATAAATTTCTTTATAAAACTATATCGATGTTATTTTTAAAGCTAATAATTTAAAAAAAGAAGAAAAAAAATCGTTATAATTGATGAGTACCAGTGAGCACTAGTAACTGCGGGTTCCCAGGGTCCAGTGAGCCAGCCGACGCGCGAGGCCCTCAGCAAGCGAGCGTACGGCTGGTTCCAGCGCCGGAAGATCAAGGCCTTCTACACCCTGGTCGATGACGTCAGCTTCAAGGACGGCGCCAGCGCGCTGGTGCAGAGCAGCGGGCTCGGGAAGCTCACCCCCAACATCCTCATGATGGGCTTCAAGCAGGACTGGCGCACGTGCAGCAGGCAACACCTGGTGGACTACGTCGAGGTCATGCAGTAAGTGAACTCCTCGCTTACTGCTCAACGTTACGGGAATCGATAATATAGCATGGATCCTTTTGAATAACTACAAAATAGTCAGGATTGCAGGCAGTGGCTTGGCTTTGCCCCTGACATTGCTGACGTCCATGAGCGACGGTAACCACTCACCATCAGGTGGGCCGTATGCTCGTCTGCCTACAAGGGTAATAAAAAATAATAAGTTTGAAACTTTTTTTTTCGTTCTTAATTCATTTTTGTTTTCTTGTGTTTGTTTATCAAAGTCACATTTTCTGTTGATACTAGAACCTAATAATTTTAATGTGAAACTCTAAAGGTAATATTAGCTATTCAGATTAAAGTTACGTTGAATAATTAATGATATTACAAAATGTGATTTATGTTTGTATTTTAACATGTACATGTATGTATGTATATCAGTCTCTGGTTTCCATAGTACAAGGAATCCAGGACCATTAGTCTCTAATAAAATTACATTAAAATAAATATTATTTATAACTTACAGATCCGCCTGTTGATTTCTAAGTTTTAAATACCATAATACCATCAACCTTATCTGGACATCCTTAATATTACATAAAACATAATATATTACAATATTTGTTTATAACGCAATAAAACTGCAGTAAAATTTGTGCATAATGGAGCTAACTCGCAAAGTTACATTTAAAATCTCTCTCGAAAAAATTTTGATATGTTGAGAAAAACGCACGTTAAAAGCAGCTCCTCGTAAGAGAGAGAGCGCGATATATTATACAACGATATATGATTTAACGGCCGTCTGGTGTAGTGGTAAGTGACATGGTCACTACACAAGGGGGTCGCGGGTTCGAATCCCGCCAAGGGAAGATATTTGTATGATAAATATAAATGTCTTTTCCAGGGTTATGGATGTATATTAAATATGTGTAGGTATGTGTATAATAAAAATCTTATATTTTTTTCCGTTATCTGGTACCTGTAACACAAGTTCTTTACGAACTTATCACGGAACCAGTTAACGTGGCGTGACTGTTAGCAAATATTTATTTATTTATTATTTAAAAAAAAAAAAATATGACGTCATCGTTCGATATTGCCATACAAATTTTTCATGAACACTCTCGTCGCAAGAAAGTCATAGAGCATTTCTTCTAAATCCCCCCAAAAACCGAAGTATTATACCACTACCACTACCACTCGCCTGCCAGTCCGGTGAACCAGAGTGGTGTCTTTTTTTTCCTACCTAAGCTGATAGTCTTGAGAGGCTCTTTCAGCGTAACCTTAACTAGTAGGTGAGCTCACGGGGCTCAAACCTGACTAGTGGCCTCCGGGCTACTGGCAATTCGTTAGAAACAATATCGACTACTCAACAGTAAAGCGTTGGACGTGCACATGGCGCTCGCGATACTCCGCATCGAGGGCGGACAGTACAGCAGCGAGGCGCTCGACGAAGACCTCCAGATCTACCTCAACGACCTTAACGCCAACGGCGCGGCGGGAATATCGCGTGAGTCACGCTCAAGCTTCCTTTCAAGTGTAGCATATTCAAGTTTCTCTATCCAGATATAAATGGGCAAAGACGAAACAGTTTGTTTTAATATTTTAATTCTCCCGCTTATCGGACGACTTTTTTTTTTCTACCTATGCTGATAGTCTTGAGAGGTTATATCAGCTCTACCCTACCATATAGGTGAGCTCACGGGGCTCAAACCGAAGGTGCTGCTAACACTGGCCCTAGCAAGAGCCGTGCTTCGCAGAATCTACCACCGGATCGGAAACGCGACCCACTGAGAAGATCCGGCGAGAAACTCAGTGGGCTGTGTCTGAGGATTAATTTAGACGTCGAACCCGTCGCTTGCGACGAAGGGTTCGACGAGGACGGTGAACGGTGCTTAAGGTACCTAAAAGCACCGTTAATAGATCGGGAGGAGGAGGGTGCGTAGAATAGCACCAGCCCTAAGTAAAAGGCGACTAAGGGGGTCATCGGAGTTTGGGTAGCGGCGTTCTCTGAATATTTCTTCAGTTTACCTCGATCTCCACCACGTTCACTGGTAGGACGTGGGTACCATCGTCCCGCCCAGTTCTGTGGCAAAGCAGTCTCGCGTTCTGGTTTGAAGGGTAACTGCCGTTATGCAGTACAGCTGAAATTTCCACCTCATGTCTCAAATCTGCGGACTCCGTTCAAGTTGTGATTTCTACTTCTTTTTTTACTTAGCAGCTATTATAGGGCTTTACTACAAAGTATCTCAATAACAGAACATGTAGGTATATAAAACTTGAGCTATATTGTGTGCTTAGTGCGAGTTTTTTAACGTTCTCGATAGCGTAAAAGTTAACTCAAATTTGTATGCTGTTGGAACAGCGCCCCTAGCGGCAAACGTAGGCAAACGTCTAAGCACACTGACCGCGGTCGAATTTGGACGGAACTGGCGTTTGTGGAGTAATCGCTAACGTCAGGTTCTTGTAGGACATTCTGTTCCCAATGAATACACATATTTTGGTACATTAATTAAAAAACCCACCAGAACCCACTAAGATGAAAGACCAGCGATATTCTCCCAGGATAATTGTGGGAATTATAGGTGCTGTTAGCGTTAATGTGTATCGTGTGCTTCCTTTCGTGATCAGGTTCCATGGGAGATACATACAAAGCAACGAAGTCTACGGAGAGCCTCAACACTCAGTCCGAAGGTAAATCGACTTGTGTCATATTAATAATACAACCGACTCGGTGGTGTGGTGGTTACCGCTCCTGACTATTCCGCCGAGGATCGTGGGTTCGATTCCCGCATCCGGCAAACATTCGTGTGATGATCAGGCTTTTTTGTTCTTTGTCAGGGTCTTATATTATCAATAAATTATGTATAAATATTATCTATATATTATGTATAAATGTAAAGTATGCATGTCAGTCTCTGGTACCGATAACACAGGAAATCCTAATTTGGGATCAGATGATCGTGCAAAGATGTCGTATGGTAGATCTTAATTGACAAAGAGAACATCCTGCGCCGACATTCTTATCCCATATAGTAGGATAAGAATAACTTGAAGTACGTACGTAATATATGTTAGCATCGTAGTATAGTACATAATATAGTCATCGTTTTCTCCGTTTTGTAGGTAGATAGTAATTAAATTTGCTTAAAAAAAGAACTTTTTTCTTCTATTTTCCCTTATCCTCTATCGCTCTATTGGTTCTTTTGAAACTGTGCCATAAAAGATCGAGCATTTGCACCACCCGACGGTGAGTGGTCCCTGTCTTTTGTGACCGTCAACAACATCAGTCGTATATTCAAGAATGTCACCTTCATGTGACGGCTATTCAATTTGTGCAACTTTATTGTTATTGAAATAAAGTGCAAAGTTATCTTTCGTTAAAAGTATAGGGCTTTATTGATTCAGTATTTTTTTAAGGGATTTTATGACCTGGTAACTAAGACCTTTAGGTCGTGTCTTATTTTAATTTATATTCTTATTTTTATAAAAATGAAAACATGGAGTGAAATGAAATGATATGAGATGATATGGGATTAAATATAATGTCAGTAAAATGGTGGTTATTTACTGAGACTTTTTCAGTGGACTTTTTGGAGGATCCCGAGAAGTTGCGTTCAGCGGCTTAGTTTCATTTTCCCACATTTATGCATTTTCACGGATATTAAACAGTTAATAAACCACCGTTATTACACATTTAAACCTGAAGAAACACTAAATAGACACAATAAAACAAATCACACAACTTCACTCCTCGCATTCCAGCCAAAAAGTCCGTTTCAGAAAAAAAAAGAAGGGCCATTTCGTATAAAGCATTAAAAGTGTTATGATTCCGACAGGCAGCATGTCCGACTTGTCGGTGGGGTCGCCGCAGCTGCGACGCGCCGTCTCGCAGGACCCCGGCGCCAACCCGGACAAGGAGCAAGTCAAAATTAAAAAAAGCGGCAAAGAAAGGTATGAGATATTACCACAAGTATTATCTACTAGCGGCCCGCTCCGGCTCCGCTCGGGTCTTTAACAAAAAAAAATGTGTGCGTGTACTAGTGTACACACGTAAGAAGTGAAACTTCTTTATGGCCTTATTTTTCGAAAAATGATCTACATGCAACTTTCTAGAAATTGGTTAAATAAAGTTAAATTAGATAAAGTTTAAACAAAAGGATTTTATTATCATAGACATGAATACAAAAAAGTTAAATTAGATAAAGTTTAAACAAAAGGATTTTATTATCATAGACATGAATACAAAAAAGATGGCGCGTAACGGAAAAATGTGACGCGTAACCGAAAAATGTGACGGTAAATTTTTTTCCAACGCCGATAAAGAAGTTTCACTTCAAAAATTCAACGATATTTGAGGTTGTTTTATTTTTTTAAATAAAAGAACACTTATTGCGGCATAACTATAATAGTTAGACATATGCTGTCCTAACACTTTTTGTAAATAATAATGTGTTGTACAAAGCCGTAGTACATTATTTTATTCTATCATCAATAGTTTTCGAAGGGCACGCGATGTAAAGAATATTTTAGGTATTTTTTTTACCTCTTTGGTTACATTATTGGAGTTTTAGTAAGAATCCCTAATTTAAAAAAAAAAAGATTATTATAGCCTATGTATGTCTCTCGGGAATAATGTAGCTTCCAAACAGTGAAAGAATTTTTCTAATCGATTCAGTAGTTTCGGAGCCTATTCAAAACAAACAAATAAACAAATCTTTCCTCTTTATAATATTGGTTTAGAAGTATAGATGTATCCATCTCATTCTCTCGCAGTCTATAAATATGTGCTTGTCTCTTTTTAGTGTCGTTTTGTCCAATTTCAAATCGGTGCGGTCCTTAATTGTGTTTCTATAGATTCCGACATGAAATCTGAGTACCGTAGATTGGTGGGAATCGGGACCCTTTCCAAATCCAACACAAATTCGCAATGGTTTTTCTTAGGGTAATATCAATAAAATTGAGATTATACATAGTCCATTACAAAATATACACAAAAACTGAGAAAACTAGCTTGACCCGATTCATCTTGGTTTTATGGTGAATCAGGTTACGTATGGGGACAATAGTTTTTCGACAGGGCTGGCACTATTTATTTGTTAGGTAGGTAGGTACCTGACTTTTGGTATTTAACTTTGAGTTCCAAAACTTTGATGATTAAACTATTTAATCTTCTTAAACACTAAATAAAAGTTATTTTGAGTTCAACAAAGTTATACAACTCAAAAAAAGTATTGTGACATCCCAGATTTGTCCCTATTCTAACTCTAGTCTATATTCCCCCCAATGTACTGTATGGTTCTATGGACATTGGTAGGACTTCTTGTGAGTCCGCACGGGTAGGTACCACCGCCCTGCCTATTTCTGCCGTGAAGCAGTAATGCGTTTCGGCTTGAAGGGTGGGGCAGCCGCTGTAATTATACGAGACCTTTATATATCAAGGTGGCGGCATTTACGTTGTAGATGTCTGTGGGCTTCAGTAATCAGGTGGGCTGTAAGTTCATATTAAAACATATTTTTTTTTCGTTATTTACAGTAAAGGTCTAAGTTACGCGGTGCGGAGGGCTCTAGGGTCTGCGGTGGCTCGCAGGGCGTCCTCGTTCACTTCAGTGGAACAATTCACGAGGAGGCAGGCCGGGACCGTCGACGTTTGGTGGCTCTATGACGACGGAGGTGAGTCATATAACCCTATAATAATAATTATTATTATTCAAGCCTCTTAAAATACAAACACGTACAAAATTTTTTAACACTAGTATAATAATATACATGGCTTTTTATGAGGTATACAGTAACAATATTCTCTGACTTTTATGCTAGGAAAACCTGTGTTACAAAAGTCAGTGGTTCAGTGCTAGGTCACCAGGTAAAGTAAGTTAAGGAAGAGCGATCTGTAAGAATATAGTACGTACGTGTGTGTGTGTGTTGTGTATGTGTTTGTGTGTTGTTTATGTGTGTCATACAATAAAGTATAATAAAGTATTACGTTATATATGACCTATATTATATATCCTACGTACGATCTATGCTTTTGTGGTCCAGCTAGACCGGGATAGGTATTGTTGTGTCGGCGCTAGAGGGCGCTTGTGTAGCGACTGCGTGGTACTGACGTGTCTTCACGATGCTCCCCCAGGTCTGACCCTGCTGCTGCCGTACATCCTGTCCACCAGACGCGCCTGGTCCTCCAGCCCGCTGCGGATATTCACGCTCGCCAACAAGAACACGGAGCTGGAGATCGAAGAAAGGAAGTAAGTTTTTTTTTAATTGTCGTATAGGCAGACGAGCATACGGACCATCTGATGGTAAGTGGTTACCGTAGCTCTTGGACGTCAGCAATGCCAGGGGCAGAGCCAAGCCGCTGCCTACCGTTTAATACTCTCCACAAGCCTCATGTCATCCATACTACCTGGAGCCATTGCGGTTATCCACAGTGCGTTTCCAGAGATCATTTTTGCCACGCACCATCCGGCTATGCAATGAGCTCCCCTCCACGGTGTTTCCCGATCGCTATGACATCTTGTTCTTCAAACGAAGCTTGTGGAGAGTACTGAGCGGTAGGCAGCGGCTTGGCTCTGCCCCTGGCATTGCTGACGCTAATGGGCGACGGCTTATGATGAGATGGGCCGTATGCTCGTCTATACGGCAATAAAAAATTAAATAAAATTAAGTGGAACTTGAGAGTCAAAACTATTTAGACGGTCTACAAAGATCATACTCCAATAAAAACGTTTCCAGCATGGCGTCCCTGCTGTCCAAGTTCCGCATCGACTACTCGGCGCTGACGGTGGTGGCGGACATCACGCGGCGCCCCCGGGACTCCACGCTGGACTACTTCGACCAGCTCATCGCGCCCTTCATGGTGCCGGAAGACGCCAACCATACGGGTGAGATGTTCGCTCTTAGCCAACTCTGGTGGTAGAACCTCTTGTGAGTCCGCGCGGGTAGGTACCACCACCCTGCCTATTTCTACCGTGAAGCAGTAATGCGTTTCGGCTTGAAGGGTGAGCTAGCCGTTGTAATTATACTGAGACCTTAGAACTTATATCTCAAGGTGGGTGGCGCATTTACGTTGTAGATGGCTGTGAGCTCGTTCACCCATCTAGGCAATAAAAAAAAAAAACATGGCAATATCGATACACGCGGGTAGGTGTACATTTTCAGTGTTTATGCATGTTACAAGTGTCGAATTACTTCTATGCTCGAAGATGAATATCGTGTGATAATACTTTTCATATAATATATAATATATGACGGAGTGACTGTTTCTATTGTGTTTTTAAAATGACGTCGTCATTGCTGATGATAGTGCCAGTGGTATCATGTTATTACAAATGGTGACGTTAGCTTCTCGTCGTTGTTGTCATTGCCTTCTGTAGTGACAGAAAATAATACTCGCCAATGAATTCCGTTTATTACATTTCAAGTGTACAACGATAACAACAAAGCGTTCCGTTCCGTTCGGCTGCTCGAGTCGGAATGTTTTGTGCGACAATAGTCACTTTTATTTATAATAGAAAGTGAGGGTAGCTTTTAAACAGTTTTTGACGTGTGCTGGACTTATAACCGTTAACCAACAATTTGAACATTAAGAAAACAGTTAACTTTAACCAATTGTAGTTAACTAATTGTAATGTTGCGCTAATATCTTATCTTTATCGAATAGAACATGTCACGGCCCCCATGTGTCCAGTGGTTATCGGAGTCAGTGTATATCGCGACTATGGAGGGTAGACGTAAGGAGAACCGTACATATGGGAGAAGCTTGAAAAAGTGTTCCATTTTCAGCACTAAATAACAGTTCAAAAATCCTCCAGAATGGCGCTAGCATAGGCACAGGGTATATATGAACGAACGATGACGATTGGTATAACTTGGGATTTTTCTTGATTTGATGCACTGAGATATAAAGAACGTCCACGCACAGCGGGTGTGACGGCGGGCGTGACGGCGGGCGTGACGGCGGGCGTGACGGCGGGCGACCTGGCGGCGGCCCGGGAGCGCACGCACCGGCACCTGCGGCTGCGCGAGCTCATCGGGGAGCGGTCCCGGGGCGCGCGGCTGGTGTGCGCCACGCTGCCCATGCCGCGCCGCCGCAGCGTGGTGCCGCCGCCGCTCTACGCCGCCTGGCTGCACGCCATCGCCTCCGCCGCCGACAACACGCTGCTCGTGCGCGGCAACCACGAGCCCGTGCTCACCTTCTACTCCTGACCACCCTTCCAACACCCCTCCCAACCCCCCTCCCAACCCCCCTCCCAACCCCCCTCCCAACACCCCACCCATCTAACCAACAGCTTCAATACCCTTCATAAAACTCTGCGGGTAGTTTGTTTTTGTAAATACATACACTGAAATCTAAGGGATTTACTAACAAAATACGCTTTTATAGAAAATCCAACTAAAAAATAGAAAATAAATTTTAATTAATTTGAATTAAAAGTAGTGTAAGAAAAAATGATCTTATTGTAAAAAAAACCGTGGGGTGCTTTTCAGGATATTATCAAAATAGCCATTCTACTCATATCTATTCATAAAATATTTATAACTACTGATACCATGCAAACCACGCTTTTTTTTACAATAAATAATAGTTTTTTTTAAATTATTACCTATTTATTTTTCATTTTTTAGTTGAATTTCAATTTTTTCAATATATTTTTTAAATATTGAATTGTCATCGGTCCTTAATAAGTATAGCAAATTTTCGAGTTAATCCGACGTTTTGAAGGGGGTCGAAATCATGTTCAAAGATTCCGCTACATACGTCTGAAGCTAATAAAAGTGTATTAATTATGTTGAGAACAGTTACACGATATTCATTTTTTTTTCCTATCTATGCTGATAGCCTTGAGAGGCTATTTCAGCTTACCCTAGCTTGTGTAGGTGAGCTCACGGGGCTCAAACCGGAGAATTGCTAACACTGGCCCTAGCAAGAGCCGTGCTTCGCAGAATCTACCACTGGATCGGAAACGCGACCCACTGAGAAGATCCGGCGAGAAACTCAGTGGGCTGTGTCTGTGGGTTAATTCGCTCGTCGAGCCCTTCGTCGCTAGCGACGGGTTCGACGAGCACGGTGACCGGCGCTTGTATTGCCTAAAAGCACCGTTAATGGATCAGGAGGATCCGTGATGACGTGTGATATTCATAATGTTAATGGTACTCCAGACTACGTACGACCCAAGGGTACGTACCGCCGCCCCGACTTGTGTCGTGATGACAGACTTCTCCGTCACCAGTCAGAGACTACCCGTAACGTCTAGCTGTAGACGCCCAACGAGTCCATGGGCATCAGGTAAAAGTCGAAGTTCGATAGAATATTGCTTTGCGGCAGAAACAGGCAAAAGATTCATCACATAAGCCCTTCCTTCGATACTGAAGAAGTAAGAGGAATAGAAGTAGGACAGGATATTTACTGATACGAACATGTGGTGGAGAAAGCATTTTCAATTTGAAGTCGTGTAAGATAAAGTACTCATGAGTGCTCACGGTCATCGTCCTGATCCCGATTTTAACTTAGACGTCGTATTACTGNTTGCGGCAGAAACAGGCAAAAGATTCATCACATAAGCCCTTCCTTCGATACTGAAGAAGTAAGAGGAATAGAAGTAGGACAGGATATTTACTGATACGAACATGTGGTGGAGAAAGCATTTTCAATTTGAAGTCGTGTAAGATAAAGTACTCATGAGTGCTCACGGTCATCGTCCTGATCCCGATTTTAACTTAGACGTCGTATTACTGTAAAGCAGAAACGGTTAATCAGTGTAATAGTAATAATGAAATATATTTTCGTAAGATTTTACAAAATTTCTCTAAACTATTTCGATATTATACACGTTAAAATATTTTGTGAATGTATATGTATTTAATTATATGTGATGTATTTAATAATTGTATGCCTATTTATACATACTAGAGGTCCCGCAGTAGTCGAAATTAGACTATAATCAGTTGGAATTGTAAGTTATTAGTTACACTATTATGATTGTATCTTATACTTCTATAATCACAAATTTCACCAAGACTACACTATAAAAATATTAACAAAGAGAAACAATATTTAATCTATTCTCAATTTGACAACAGACGTCAAGAACAAAAGCTTGACAATAAATATAGTATGCATGCGTGTGCGCGTCAAATACATGGTATATAGTGTGTGTAATGTTTTCTTTATTGATTTAATGTATCTTTTATGCATTATTTCAAAAAATATTAGCATTGTGCACTTCTTCTCTACATTCTGTATAAGTGTGGAAAATTTCATACTCCTCGGTCCGCGCAATTTTCGTAAAAAGGGATACAAGTTTTTGCTTCACGTATTAATATATAGATGTGATGTGTTTAATAATTGTACACCTATTTATAGATATGTATACGTTTTTGTGAGTTCTCACACGTGATCAGCAGTGCAATTTTTGAATCTATTATACAAATTACATGAAGAAATCTTACAATAATTTATTATAATATAATATCAATCTCGAATTTCTAGACTCGCTGTAACATAATTATACTGTAAATTTTGATTTAACTTAACTTATTATAGTGATGTTGTAATATATTTAGAATATATATATATATATTAATATAAATATTGACGGGTGAAAGTCTATTTGGTTTAGGCGACATTTTTGCAACTTTACATTAGAGCCATTTAAAGTTTAAAATTTGGAAAAAATATTACGACCAGAAAACTTCTTCAACTATTTGAATAGAGTAAACATAATTTAAATTCAAATTAAAAACATCGAATTGTTGATATTAATGGCAAATAAAACTGACCTTTAATTACAAAGATAAATGTCTCTTAAATCAAATAACCTTTCACCTCTAGAAGTGTAATAAGTCGTGTGCAATGAGAAATCTGTGCTTTTAAAAGTTAAAAGGTACATTTTTCAATGCAAACCTGCAAAGTCAACCAGAAGGTGCAGTGAAAGCTCAGGTCTTCAATGGAAGCGCCAAACTTTTGTTATTATTTTAATTTTATGTCATGTCATTTTTATGTCATGTCGGTTATGGTTACATTGGAAAATGGAATAACAATTACGATTCTACGGTGACGTATTCAAATCGATTTAATGTTAGATCCTTTAGAATCAATATAATTTACTAGACAGTGGATCGCGTGACACTTATTTTTTATAAATGGCCGAACGAAGTCGACTGAACGCAACTTAATATATCATCGTTGTCAAACCAAAATCTGCTATGTGCACTTTTTTAGATTTTTACTTTTTGACCTTTTCGTATAGTTCACAGCCCTATTTAGCCTATAAAAAAAAATGTCATTTGTCTATATCTTTAATATTTATCTATAGCTTTCATTTGATATAGTTTTTAAAAATTCACCTTCATATAAAATTTTATACGAAAATGTTTTTACTCGTACTCGTTAATTCAAAATAGAGTTTTTGCACATAGCAGATTTTGGTTTGACAGCGACGATATGTCATTTTTGACCAAAATAAGCGTCGTGACAACCCTTGGTCAACTAGGACACAACGATTACCCACATATCGCCATTTCGCATTAAAAGTGTACAATTTCCAAAAATATTCGAAATTGAGTTTATATAAGTATATATGCGTAAACATTTGGTATCACCGGTATTTTTCTCATAAATACTGTCAAAAGAGCGTAGTTTAGTTTTTTGTTTTTTTTTTTTTCATTTACCTATATTTTGACTGCTATTAACAATGTTAATACATAATTTTATCTTAATTTAAAAGACAAATAATGTAAAATTTGTAAGTTTTGAGATTATACAGTTTTCATGCGAGAAGACGATATGACGTGGCGCGCTGTGATTGGTGTTCAGTTTGACGTAAATTGTTTGGACGTTTATTTCGAAGTATCTCAATATTAAATCGACTTGAATCGGCATGCGTACACTAAATTATTGAGTCTAAATTAAATTAGAAATTTTATTAATTAAGTGCAATATGTATTAGGTTTTAAACAATAAACATGACAACTGGTAATCGAATTTAAAATATATATAGTGAGAAGTGTGAAGTGGTTTTATTTTGGTGTAGTTTTATGTTTTTTATTTCCCTGTAGCCAGGCCAGCACAGCCCACCTGATGGTCAGTGGTCACCATTTTTCATGCACATCAGAAATGCCAAGGGCACAGTGAAGTCGCTGTCTACTGCGAATTTAAATACAATTAAAATAATCACGTGTCTACATAATAGGGATAATAAATGATACATATTCTTATATCAATCTCCATAGGTTCTAACTCAATGCAATCTGCGGTAGCGCAACGAGCATTGAAATAGAATCATATGGCGTTTTTTGAAGTGAAACATTCGAGGTGTAACTTCTTTAGGCGGGTTGAGAGTAAAATTTAACTCACGATAGATTCGTTACGGCTAGAGAGAAGAGATACAATTTAGGACGAGCGAGAGTGAGAAAATAGACGGAGCATCGTGCGAACCACTCGACCGTGGAGAGAGGGAGAAAGCGACCTAGGTTGTTTCTCTCGTCGACCACTAGATGGCTTGTTATTCGTTTCTCATTGCTCCTTTAGATGGCAGTAATATATTATCTTATATTTTATTTGTAATGAAGGATTTAAAAAAAACTCTTTCTATAATAATATATAATTGGAAATGTGATGAAGAGGTCGTTTTCTATTATAAATACCACAAAAGAAGTTTCACTTCTTTCATGTGCACCAAGCTGCACGTTTTTCTCTCATTAGCATTTTTGTATTAAACCAATTTATATTAAGTGGTTCTGGATACCACAGTCGCAATGTGAATGAAGCCATACACTCTGAGACATGTGCTCATAATCTTAGTTCCACTGTCAGTAGCGGATTAAAGGTCCAGAGCGCCCTAGGCAATCACTTTAGCGGCGCTCCTGTACCGGCCATATATGGCCATCATGATACTTTAAATTTTAACTAGTTGTTTTTGCAATTACGATGACGTTGTATCATCAGACTAGTAGACCAGGACCATTTAGTAGACTATTTAGTTCAGGCATTTAGTTCTTAATCGTCGATATTTTATATTTTTTTATTGCCTAGAAGTGTGGACGAGCTCACAGCCCACCTGGTGTTAAGTGGTTACTGGAACCCATAGACATCTACAACGTAAATGCGCCACACAACTTAAGATATACCTAAGTTCTAAGGTAAGGTCAGTATAGTTACAACGGCTGCCCCACCCTTCATACCAAACGCATTACTGCTTCACGGCAGAATCAGGCAGGGCGGTGGTACCTACCCGTGCGGACTCACAAGAGGTCCCACCACCAGTAATTACGCAAATTATAATTTTGCGGATTATTCCTTGTTATTCCTTCACCGTGGAAGTCAATAGTAAACAATTGTTAAGTACGTATTTCATTAGAAAAATTGGTGCCCGCTTACGGGATTCGAACACCGTTGCATCGCTATATACGAGTGCACCGGACGTCTTATCCTTTAGGCCAGGACGACTCTGTTGTTATTTGACGTTATGTTATTTTCTTTATTTATTTAAAAGTTCTGAGCTCGCGCGACCCTTGTAACTACACGCCCCCAGGCACGTGCCTAGTTTGCCTTACGGATAATCCGCCTCTGTCCACTGTATAACGGCGGTTACGCCCTTTAAGCCCAAACACGTCATAATCTTCGCGGCAAAAACGGCATAATGTTTGCAACGCGTGTTCAGAAATGTCTTCTTCTACTGTTTTAAACTCATGCCTGCTTACTAGTTACTAGATTACATCACAATCCCTAGTAATTAAAACAAATACAATTATGATTAACTTAAATGTTCTTTGATCGTATTGTTTTTTTAATTGCCTTTTGTTAAATCAATAGAATATAGGAAGTGTTATGTTTAATACGAATAGGTTAAAGATTGCATTCGCATTGATTATGCCCATGAACGACAGTACTAATAAGTGTAGTTTTTGGGGCTGATTTGTTAATAAAACCTCGGAGCACTTATGTATTGGTCGTGGCCATTCAGGGGAGAAGAGAGGGAGGGGAACAATTGTATTACCAACTTAATAATAATAAAATTTTAATACAAAACATGTTGGATAGAAATGCCTACAGTGACAACATATGGCTATTAATGATAGGGCGTTATGTGAGCCTGGGCTAGCACTCACGTCTCAAAGTGGGCAGCGAAATTCGCGTTTTTTTTTGCCAATAGCCTCCGGTAACCGCTTAACACGAGGTGTACCGTAAACTCGTTCACTTGGATATGCAATAACAAAACAAAAACATGTTGGCTGTATGGGCTTGTATAAGTTCAGTGGAAAAACAATTATATAACTATTTTAGCTATTAATAAATAATTACGAAATAAGCAAGTTAATTTCATAGCGTGTATGTTATAACGCAAATGCGTTTGCAAATCAATTGTTTTGCAAAAAAATACGTGATTTATTTAAGACGCTGTCTCATCACAAAACGAAGTATATTTGTTTGTCTAGATCTACGTGACGATATAGCGAAATGTAAGTGGCAATAATACCGCAGGTAGGAAAACGTGCAGTATCTACATAATTATTGAAGGTTTCTTAGTATGTTTGCCCTCTATGCGTTGTACAGGATTGTGTATGTACCTACAGGTATTTGCAGCGTTTTCTACACAGTGTTATAGTCTGTGGTAGAGAGACGGAAACCCGCCAAAACCGAAAGTAAAATGGAGCCCTTCATATTTTATTTTTTATGTTCTATCTAACCTAAATGTCCTGGGTACGAAACTTAACGATATACTTTACCGCCAATTGATCGATATAAGTGACTACACGAAAAACTCTCAGGCGATCGACTGGAGAAGGAATGTTTATGATTGTTAATTCACTTAAAGTACAATATGCAGAATTGTTGCGTTATTTAATTAAAAATCGATATCGACACTCGACATTCCCCAAAATGTTCTTAAGCCACTCATCCGAGTGTGATGAAACTTGGTATTGTTGGCAATTCAGGGAAGATTACTTTCATAATGCTGCGAAATTATCGTCTTTACCATATAGTTGTCAAAGCGCATATTCTGAATTTGACGGGAAACATTCTTATACAGATTAATTTGACTTTTTAATTCATTTAATAATACAGACTAGTGGCCCCGCCGTAGTCGATCTTCGACTATAATTAATTGAAATCCTAAGTTTGAATATTATGGTTCTATTATCAAAGACTATTTATTATAATATTTCTATAGTGACAGATTTCGCCAAGAAAGATAAACAATATTAACTTATTCTCAATTTGACTACAGACTTTAAGCAATAACAAAAGTTTGACAATAAATGTGTGTGTCAAATACATGGTAGTAATGGTGTGTAATGTTTTCTTTATTTATTCAATGTATATTTTATGCATTATTTAAAAAAAAATATTGGCATTGTGCATTGCTTCTCTATATTCTCTATAAGTATGGGAAGTTTCATACTCCTCCGTCCGCGCAATTTTCGGAAAAAGGGGATACAAAGTTTTTGCTTCACGTATTAATATATAGATTCCGTTTCATTTAAAAGTAACCCAAAATAACTAGACGCACTATGAAATGTGATATGCGAATTTCAAATTTATGGTAAGTATTTTGAGGACCTAAGCTCCTGTTATTCCATTTACATTATGCCATGTGTCTTTGTTTCATCATGTAGGTACAGCTTCATATTTTCTTTTGGTTTTTGTCTTCAATACATTAGACAGCGAACGAGTCTGTTCATTTCTATACCCATCCTTTCGTCTTCTTAAAAGAGAACAATTTAAACAGTTTTGTGTCTAAATTTGGAGTTTTTTGGTATGTATTTGGAACTATAACTAGTTTCTGGATTTTTGGAAATAGTAAATGAAAATCTCAATACTATTTAACTAAACCGAGCAACAACTTATGTATTATAGATTTTAATAAGCGGCATTCTCGATCCTGCGGACAGAATGGAAAGCAGTCGACGTCGCCCCAAACACGTCATTTCGGATCCTCCCGATCCACTAACGGTGCTTTTAGGTACTTCAAGCACCGGTCACCGTTCTCGTCGAACCCGTCGCTTGCGTCGAAGGGCTCGATGAGTAAATTAACCCTCAGACACAGCCCACTGAGTTTCTCGCCGGATCTTCTCAGTGGGTCACGTTTCAGATCCGGTGGTAGATTCTGCGAAGCACGGCTCTTGCTAGGGTTCGTGTTAGCAACGTCGTCAGGTTTGAGCCCCGTGAGCTCACCTACTAGTTAAGGTTACGCTTACATAGCCTCGCTAGGCTATGAGCTTAGGTAGGAAAAGAAAAAAAAAAGCGGTAAGTACATTCGCGCAATAAGTCGCCCTTAACCGCTAATGTTTTACCGCACAGCTTCAAATATGTAAACAAAAACTTTTGCGCCATTTTAAAAATAAATGAAGACCTGAACGATTTTATAAAGTTTGAGAACCACGGTCAATTAATGGTTGTTATTGGGCAATTAAATTTCGTGAAACTATAATTTACTGTTAAATTTAACGGTTTCTATCTTTGAGTAAAAGGTATTCGTAATAGGAAAGATTGTTTATTGATATTTTATCAAGTAGCATATTTAGAACTTGTATTCCAGGGATGTAACGCGTGGTAATAAATAAATAATATTAGTGGCTTTTTCTTTTTTCAGCTGATATAAGTAGGATTGTGACACCTTGTAACATGCCCTACCATGAATTATTTAGGCATGCTGAGAAGTTTCATGCAAACTTATTGCTCTGTGGATGGATACTAAGAAAAGTTACAGTAATTTCTGTAGGAAGCAGGTCGTACCTTATGATTATCTACTAGTCGGATGGATTGTTATTATTAAAACTCATAGTTACACGCGGCTGAGTTTCTCGCCGGATCTTCTCAGTGGGTCGCGGTTTCGATCCGGTGGTAGATTCTGTCGAAGCGCTGCTCTTGCTAGGACTCTCCTCCTTGCGTCGGTTTCCTCATTACTGACGGTCGTGGTCATGGGCTTGAAACAGTTTGTTTTTTGTAATGCACCGCCATCTGTTCCTATCTGCAACTGAGTGCAGAGCATCGTGCACTGTTGTATCAAGGGCTGCACGAATCTGGTCCGTCCAACGGGTCGAGCTCCCGCCTCTTGGTCGCTTGCCCTCGACTAGTGTTAGCAAATTCTCTTAAGTTGAGCTGTGTGTTCACCTACCCGTCCGCGCGTAGCTGGAATAGTCTCTTAGGCTACCAGCGAATAGGTAAAAAAAAGTACAAAATAATAGAGATTCGAATTTTGTTTCCCAAATTAGACAGATGCAATGGCCATGAGTTCGTCTATTGACATTAGCAATAAAAAAGAACAACGCTTTACGTTTGTTGGTATCCAATTAAGAGAGTTTTAGCCTTTCGATTTTGAGAACGGTTCCATGGAGTGTTGATATGCTGAAAAATTGATGATTTTCTTACGGTTTCTTAAAATTTTGTCACTAGGAAATTTAGTTTTGTTGACTTATATAAAATTTGTACATGTAGGTTTCGATTATGTAGTCATCTCTAGTTATCTGCATTGACTAATTACGTGCAACTTTCATTGCAAATTGTCCACCGGAGCGCGCACATTACAAACAGAATCTAAGCGATTTATTCATTTTCTAATAGCGATGGTTGAATGCAATCATTATCTCGGCCTCTGGTCAAGCAACTATACAGCCAGTCGGTAAGCGCGCGGCTCGCTCGACGCACGCGTTTCCACGTCCCAACGAACTGTCAATGTCAAACTCGAAAAATACGTTCCAATTTAAAAAAAAGTGACATTAAAATAGGTGTTTACAAACAATCACTGCTCTAAGTGTCGTGTTGTTTTTTTTAATCGGGATTTGAACAACGGCAAAGGTAAACACGACAATTATGTCCTTAATTTATTCCTTCGAAAATGTATGTAGTGTTCTTTCTTTTGTTATTTTATTTATCTGTTAAGTTGATGTTACTCAGAATAAACGTGACGTGTTTTTTCAAGGAACTTTTTTCGACTGCATAATAAGATTACTATTTATAAAACCAGAAAAAAAGTATATTTTTTAACAAAGTTTGTGAAACACTTTTGCGCAATGTAATCAAACATCGGCATCAGAGCACGATTAAAAACTTGTTTTACGATTTATAATTTGAAAACGAAATTGTGTTTCGGTTTGTTATCTTTATATAGACAAGGTCAAAAGACAATACATGCCTTCATGTGGTTGATTGAAAAGTTAGAGTGGATATGTTAGTTGACTCTGAATATTGCAACGTAGGAAAATAAGGAAAATTAACGAATAAAGTTAGTCAACGAAAAAATACTAATAAAAGAAATTAAAAATACTTTTGCGATTCAATCTTGCGTTTTTTATTGTCATTATTATTTAATAGGCGAGGATTTGAAAATGTTACAGTTTTCATGGTCACCTTCGCGGGATTAAGCCTTCAAATTAGTTTTAAGTCAATCATTCGCTAAAACCGTAGAAAGGCTTATAAACAAAGATTTCGTTCGAAAAAGTTCCATCTTGTTTCCATTAAAACGAAGGATTTGTAAGTGTCTATGAATATATCTAAGATCATATGAGCGGTAGGTAGTTAGTGGCTTGGCTGTGCTTGTCATGGCTCTGTCCACGAGCGACGATGACCACTGAATATCAGGCTGACTGTATGCTTGTCTGTATTCGAAGGCACACGATATGTTAGCAGCCAGCATTTTAAAATCGATCCTTTAGCATCCCTATACCCGGAAACTACAATGAAGTTGTCGCTTGGTTCGATTCTTTTGGGGTAGGCTTTTTTTTTATTGCCCGAGCAGGCAGACGAGCATACGGCCCACCTGATGGTGAGTGGTTACCGTCGCTCAAGGACGTCAGCAATGCCAGGGGCAGAGCCAAGCCGCTGTCTACCTTTATTTTTAGGTATTGCTAGAAATAAGAATTATAAATTAGAGTTGTTATGATAGAGATATGAGAGAGAAGAGAGATGTTATGACGCGATTTATAAAATTTATTTTTCTTGTAATGTTATGAATTTTAGAGTTGCTAATATTTTATTTCGCGACTGTATAATTTTCTATAGGTTCATCTGTTTGTTTGTTGTTCTATGCGTTTGCGTATCGTGGATCCGCATCGGTTAAAACCAACTTCTCATTGTAGTCCTTGGCTGAGCTTGTGCAGTTTTTGTCCGCGCGTCACGGAAGACTACTGGCAAATCATAAATTATGCTACATTAATTAAACTCTATCTCTTCGACAAATAAGACGATTTTAAATTTATCTACCACAAAAAGTACAACAACAATAATATGAATGAACGAATAGGCTTTTATTCAGATTCAAATTACAATTATAAGATTAAACATATAGAAAAATGAAATTAAATGTGAGCCTTAATATAGTCTCTTAATTGAATTTTACTTATTTTCTGTAGATCTGTTTGCCAATCGACAAAGAGCTTCTCCAACCTCCAACAACAATAATGTATAATAATTTAATAATATTTAATATTATATATGCTGCGGACTCCAGGATGTAGGCTGTGCAAGACTGGTTATTGTTGCAAGCCTTGCTGGAGGTCTATGTCCAGTGGAAGTGCGTGAGCTGAAAAAGAAAACATTCTCTACCGGAGCTATCCCCTTGTTAGAAGTCAATCTTTAGTGATGATAATTTTAGAAGACACAGGTACGCGTTTTCGCCATCGTGAGCACTGCTAATAATTCTTGGTATTTACAAGGAAAGATTATGGTGCAAATACTTCACCTACCCATACATTAGCCCGCTGATTTTTGCGCCGGATCTTCCGATCGCGATTCTGATCCGGTAGTAGATTCATTCGCGAAGCAGTTGCCCTTGAGTTGTTAGGTCTCCTTCGCAGGCGCTCGGGCAGCTGTTAGCAAATCCTTTCCCATCCTGGCTGAGCCTTTGCTCACCCACCTGTCCTGGTGAAACTGGAAAGGTCTCCAGGCTACCAGTAATCAATTATTCGAAAAAAAAAAAAAACAATGTTAGCAAAACACGTTTTAATTATAATAGTTTATAAGCTTAGATGAGGAAGCACGCTTTACAACATAACTGCTGTTACAATTAGTCTGGACGTTCCGAATCGAACACCGATGCCACTTTATGACATTTTATGACTATTATAAAGTCCAGTCTAAATGAAACAGGCATTATCATTCTAACTATCCCGACGGAAAATTATGAACGTGTTATTTGGATACTAATTTTGAAAGTTTCAAAATTATATGTTTAATGAATCTCTTATTGTTTACCCCGGTCACCGAGCGAATTAACCTATAGACACAGCCCACTGAGTTTCTCGCCGGATCTTCTCAGTGGGTCGCGTTTCTGATCCGGTGGTAGATTCTGCGAAGCACTGTTTTTGCTAGGGCCAGTGTTAGCAACCCTTCCGATTTGAGCCCCGTGAGCTCACTTACATGTTAGGGTACAGCTGAAATAGCCTCTTAAGGTTATCAGCATAAGTAGGAAAGAAAAGGGATTATTGCTATGTTGTCAACTGTATTGAAGGAACGCATAATATGTTTGTATATATAGGTCTATTTTGTGTCAAATTTGTTCACGGATGCTGACGATTGGTGAAATATTAGTAATTCATTCATATTGTTACCGTCACGACTGACGATCGCATCTGAATCGCGCATTCGTGTACTGATGTAGACAAAAAATATTATAAAATATAATACCTATATATCACTACCTAACCCGGCAAACGTTGTTTTTCTATATATAAGATTTTTAGGGAATTTCTAGTGTAGAAAACTAACTTATTGTAAGTGTGTAAGGATGTGGTAAATGAATGAAAGAGGCATGTAGCGCTGTGAACGATAAGGGAATATAAAAATAACAAAACCTCATTCAACCACATAATGCCTAAATATAACAAAATTTTTTTTTCCGGAAAATAAAAAATAAATGTTAGAGCTGGACAACCCTTATCACTTAGGGGTATGAAAAATAGATAGTAGCCGATTCTCAGACCTACTAAACATGCATATAAAATTTCATAAAAATCGGTCAAACCGTTTCAGAGGAGTATGGTAATTGATATTGTGACACGAGAATTTTATATATAAGATTATATACCCGACATTCGGAATTTATACTTCGGATGCTACACGGAATCAAAGAGAGAGGGCGTTCTTTGTGACATATATTTTACAAAATATCGTCTAAATATATTTGTAAAGTGGAATTATGGATATAATTATGTATTTAAAAGTATCACGCAAATCACAGTAAAAATATATATTTTTTTTATTTGTAGTGTGCGCCGCCATACAGGTTTGAAAGCGAACTTTGTATTGTCTACGTATTTGACCAAGTTGCCTATTGTAAAAATAAAATCATATAAAGTGATAATTAATACGAATAATGCTTTTGAAACTTTCAAACCAACGGCAGGATCACATTTGTGAAGTGGGTTGTAATCATGCAACACGTCATCATCACCATTCACAACTCATTAATGTGCCATATGATACTGTTATAGTGTTTTTTATATCATAGTTGGGTGAAGTTTACGGGCCATATGGTGTTGAGTGGTTGCCGTTGCCCATAGCCATCACTATGTGAACGCCGACGCGTCCCTTGAGACAGTTTTTGTTTTGTTTTGTTGCTTAGATGGGTGGACGTGCTCACAGCCCACCTGGTGTTAAGTGGTTACTGGAGCCCATAGACATTTTCAACGTAAATGCACCACCCACCTTGAGATATAAGTTCTAAGGTCTCAGTATAGTTACATGAGGTCTAAGTTTCAATGCTAGAGTACAACGGCACTCTTACCCTTCCAATAGGCACGCGTTATAGCTTCACGGTAGCAACCTACCAGTGCGGGCTCACGAGACACCCTACCAAGCGTATTTTATTGATTGTTGTAACAACAATGATATCTTAAAAACCGGTTTTAGTACTTTATCATGAACTGTACGTATTCGCTCATGTATATTCGCGCAGAGCGCATGCGCATTAAATTGATGAGATCAAAGTTCGGAAGACTGAGCGATCTTCTCAATGTTAAGTCTCGTAGAAATCTTAAGATTGTTTCCAAAAAATATGTTTGAATACTATTAATACGATCGTCCAAATTCGAATCATTTCATTTAACTTAAATATCATTAGATATAATGTAGTTGTTGGATGTGAAGACACGATATTCTCCACCACTGGTCCCGAAAAGACGCGTCCTCAAGAAGAAAAAAGCAGGGCTGCCTTTTATTGAGGTTTTGGTTTTTTTTATCTTTTAAATGCACACAATTATATTATACAAAGTGCTATGGCAATGTAGCGTTGATATATATCACACAATCTTTGGCTCTTCTAGAAACTTCTAGGTTTATAGAAACTATTCTAGAGAACCTTTGACACTCCAGAATATCCCGATGGCGCCATAATCGTCTTCGTCGATACGAGAATAATGGGCTTTTACACAATTCAATCTTCTAATGGATTTGCAAAGTTTTCTTTATTCTCGCTGTGGCAATGTTATGTTTGCTAACCACAGGAAGTTGTCTATGATTATTACGATTCAACCATAAATAATGATGTTGTAAATTAATTTACCTAAGATTTGTAATATTATTATCTTGGGTTCTATTTAGAAGTAGTATTTGGCGCCTTGCATAATGTAACGAAGCTTAATATGTATCATTACATTCACCAGTAGACTGGTCATTGGATACGGTTAGGTTTTATTTCAATGGGCGTAGTCGCACTACCTCTTTATTAGATTTTATTAATAGTCAGAGAATGCTGGTGCGCATTTTTTGAAAGATTCCCATAACCTACATTATGATGTAAGCAGAGATTCTTACAATAACAATATGTAATGTATTTTGCTATGCGCCCTGTAGTGTGGCAT